GCGATCGCCTGTGCCCGTGCCCGTGCCAACCTTGACCTTGACCTCACCATCCAATGTCGGGACCGTCACTTCACCGCCAAGCAGAGCGGTGGTAAGAGGAATAGAAGCCGTGTAAAGAATATCGGAGCCGGATCGGCTGAAACGATGGTCGGGGGAGACCCGGATGGAGACATACAGGTCACCTCGCTGCGTACGGGAGCCTGGGGCTGCCGCGGTGCCCGTGGGAGGGGCGTCACCCTCTCCGGTCACTCTCAGACGCATGCCGTCCTCGACACCACCAGGAATATCGACCTGAACCGTCTTCCGATCCCTGACCACACCGTTGCCATTACACGAGCCACACTCGGATCCTCGAGGGACTGTCATTCCCGCTCCTCCACAGGCATCGCAGGTGGCTGCGACCTGGAATCCTCCCTGCATCATGTGTACTCGGGTACCGGACCCGTTGCACTTACGGCACTGAGATCGTTTGGCGCCCTTCTTCAGTCCATCACCGCTACAGGTGCCACATTCTTTCAGAGGTGTGATGACAATATCCTTCGATGTACCCTTCGCAGCTTCCATGAAGGAAATGTTGGTCTGGACCTCGATATCCTCGCCCACCAAGATCTCCTGGAACGGGCCCCGGCGGCCCCGGCCAGAACGGCGGGCTCCTCCTGTGAAAGCTCCGAAAAGATCTTCAAAGTTGATGTCCGCTCCAAATCCTCCGGGGAAGCCACCACCGAAGCCACCACCGAAACCATGGAAACCTCCGGCACCAGCGAATGGGTTACCGCCACTGGGATCGAAGCCGCCGTTTTGGTCGAAGGCAGCTGAGCCAAACCGGTCGAAATTCTCGCGCTTCTTCGGGTCAGAAAGAACTTCGTACGCCGATTGGGCTTCAGCGAACTTTTCCTTGGCGCCGGGGTCCTTGTTGGTATCCGGGTGATATTTCTTGGCCATTCCATAGTAAGCTTTCTTGATATCCGCCGCAGAGGCGCCTTTGTCGACACCTAGAACTTTATACGGGTCAGAAATGGCTCCAAGGGGAGCGGTCGTATGGAAAGCCTGTGGACAGGGAAATGTTACTCAGTCACAGCCCGGACATATCTCCACGGAGGTGGCAGAAAGCACCTACCCTTGACGAAAGGAATGAATTGTGCTTGCTCCGAACACCATCTCGCAAGCGCTGACTGTTTGAAGGGGCAGTTGACGCATGATAAGATCGAACCGGGGTGGCAGAGCGCACACTGGCGGCCGGGCTCTGCTTGGAGCATTGTCGCGAGGTCCGCAGTAAACGAGCGGGAAGGGCCGCGGCTTTGGGCATGGCGGCGGAAGTAGCGCTCATCGTGGGAAGCAAAGGAGCATTCAACGGGACGAAAGAGGGACGGCGAGAGGGAATGAGGGCGAATGGCAGTGAAGCGAGATTGGAACCCGACGAAGCTGATTTGAGCAGAAGTCGGCGACCTTTTGACCTCGACCGCCTCCTGATGGGGAAGACGCTTAGAAGCTTCGAGTCTCTCGGCTCGAAAAAGTTTCCCGACCGGAACAACAATGGTCCGTGGCGGCGATGATGAAAGCCTGCTTCGGTAATCAATCACTCGACCGACCTGACCGATTGAACTGACCTGCCCCGACCTCGTTCCCATTGATCTCCTGCCTTTCCTTCGCTCTTGTTTCGAGCTCCCTTTCAGTAAGCCCTCGTGCTACTGCCTTGTACTCTTTTTCTTGTTCCTCCCTCCCCCCACCTCTACTCATCCTTTTGCCGCCTCGTTGCGTCCGCATCTACATTAGTAACTACTAGCATGCTCCGCGGCCAGACTCTCCCCTGGAGAGCCGCGCTCCACCAAACCTCGCGTCCTTTCATCCCTCGGCCTCTTCTTGCGCCTTCTAAATACAATGTCACTGCCCGTTCGATACTAAACTCCTCGCGACTTCGCCGCTCCCTCCCGTCTTCGACTCGCACCTTCTCCTCGAGCTCCATCCGGAGGCGGGAAAAGCCCCCACCCGGCGACGAAAAGGACGACTCTGCCCAGAAAGAGCAGAGAGATGCGAATGAGGATAAGGATGTCGAGCGTACTCCCGATGCCCGACGTAAGGCCGTTGATTCCTCTAGCAAGCATGGATCGTCACATGAACCCGGAGCTCCGACATCGGGCTTTGCACGGCGGAAGGAGAAAGCGGGCGGGGACAAGGAGCAACGTGGCCTGGAAGAAGACTCGAAGAAGGATGGCAATGCAGTAGAAGGCAAGGGAAGCTCGTCCGACACACCATCCCCTATACCCGTCAGTGGTGGTTCGGATTCGAGGCCTAGTGGCGCGAATAATGGTGGTAACGAGGATGGCGGGAAGAAGGGAAAGAAGGGCTCCGGCGAGAAGGCCTTGCAGAAACCATCCGTCCCGGAGGTTTATCCTCAGGTGATGGCAATTCCCATCGCCAAGCGACCGTTGTTCCCCGGCTTTTACAAAGCAATTACCATCCGAGACCCCAATGTGGCCGCCGCCATTCAAGACATGATGAAGCGGGGGCAACCGTACGTGGGTGCTTTCCTGTTCAAGGATGAGAACGCAGATGGCGATGTGATCGAAAATCTTGATGATGTCTATGACGTCGGTGTCTTCGCCCAAATCACTGCTGCTTACCCTCTTCGGGGCGAAGCGAGTGGTGTGACGGCGGTTCTTTATCCTCACCGTCGCATCAAGGTCTCTTCGTTGCTTCCGCCTAGCGATTCCGCAAAGGCTGGCGCAACCGAAGACAAGGCCACTGAGCGCCGCGGGGATGTTGTCGCTAGCTTCGAGGAGGGCACTGCAGAGCTCGCCCCCAAGGACCACTACGAGCCCACCTCCTTCTTGCGGAAGTACCCCGTCAGCCTGGTCAATGTGGAGAACCTGGCGGAGGAGGCCTACGACAAGAAGAGTGCGATCATCCGCGCGGTCACCAGTGAGATTGTCAACGTATGCAAGGAGATCGCTAGCCTGAACCCTTTGTTTCGCGACCAGATTTCTGCCTTTTACACTGATCAGTTCCCCGGTAACCTGAGTGACGAGCCTGCCAAGTTGGCTGACTTCGCCGCCGCTGTGTCTGCAGGCGAGCTCAATGAAATGCAAGAGGTCTTGGAGTTGATGAACATTGAGGAGCGACTCCCAAAGGCCTTGGTGGTGTTGAAAAAGGAGCTCATGAATGCGCAACTTCAATCCAAGATTTCCAAAGATGTGGAGGCTAAGATTCAGAAGCGGCAGCGCGAATATTGGCTAATGGAGCAAATGAAAGGCATCAAGCGGGAGTTGGGCATTGAGTCGGATGGCAAGGACAAGCTGGTGGAGAAGTTCAAGGAAAAGGCCGCAAAGCTTGCTATGCCGGATGCCGTCAAGAAGGTGTTCGATGAGGAACTCAACAAGCTGGCCCATCTGGAGCCCGCTGCCTCGGAGTTCAATGTCACGCGCAACTATCTGGACTGGTTGACTCAGATTCCCTGGGGACAGAAGAGTGTGGAGAACTTTGGTATCCAAAATGCGGTGAAAGTATTGGATGAAGACCACTATGGTCTCAAGGACGTCAAGGACCGTATTCTGGAGTTCATTGCCGTGGGTAAACTGCGTGGCACTGTGGAAGGCAAGATTCTCTGCTTGGTCGGCCCGCCTGGTGTTGGAAAGACCAGTATTGGAAAATCAATTGCACGGGCCCTGAACCGGCAATACTACCGCTTTTCTGTTGGTGGCTTGACCGATGTTGCCGAGATCAAGGGACACCGTCGGACCTACGTGGGCGCTCTTCCTGGACGCATCATCCAGGCCTTGAAGAAGTGCCAGACCGAGAACCCTCTCATTCTGATCGACGAAATTGACAAGATTGGTCGCGGCCATCAGGGAGACCCATCTTCTGCGCTGCTCGAGTTGCTTGATCCCGAGCAGAACTCGTCCTTCTTGGACCACTACATGGACGTTCCAGTTGATTTGTCTAAAGTTCTCTTCGTCTGCACGGCAAACGTGACTGATACCATCCCTCGGCCGCTACTCGATCGCATGGAGCTCATCGAGCTGTCGGGGTATGTTGCAGATGAGAAGATGGCCATCGCCCAACGGTATCTTGCGCCTGCTGCCAAGGAGCTCACGGGTCTCAAGGAAGTTGATGTTACCTTGACGGAGGAAGCCGTTGAGGAACTCATCAAATCCTACTGCCGTGAAAGTGGTGTTCGTAACCTGAAGAAGCAGATCGAAAAGGTCTATCGGAAGGCAGCATACAACATCGTCCGTGACCTCGGAGAAGACGTTCTTGCAGAAGAAAAGGCTCTGACGGAGGAGGGCAAGGCTGCCCAGGAGGAATCGCAGAAGGAGACCGAGTCTCCCGACTTGGCGAACTCGGCTGCGGAAAAGTCCACGACAGAGACGCCTCGCGTTGCGTTGACGGTTCCTGATAGTGTGCAGCTCAGCATTGGCAAAGACAGTCTCACCGACTACGTTGGACCTCCCATCTTCACGGCAGACCGGCTGTACGACACCTTCCCGCCTGGTGTGACCATGGGTCTCGCATGGACTAGCATGGGAGGTGCTGCTTTGTATGTGGAGTCGATCCTGGAGAATGCTTTGACCCCTCAATCCCGACCGGGCATTGATATCACCGGTAACCTGCAGACCGTGATGAAGGAATCGAGCCACATCGCCTACTCGTTTGCCAAGTCGGTCATGGCGAAGCAGTTCCCCGAGAACCGATTCTTCGAGAAGGCCAAGCTGCACATGCATTGCCCTGAGGGTGCTGTACCCAAAGATGGTCCCTCTGCAGGTATCACCATGGCAACGTCCCTGCTGTCCTTGGCTCTGAACCATCCTCTTGATCCCACTATTGCCATGACCGGAGAATTGACCGTGACCGGCAAGGTATTGCGTATTGGAGGATTGCGGGAGAAGACGGTAGCCGCCCGCCGTGCTGGTGCCAAGAAGATTATATTCCCTGCTGACAATATGTCCGACTGGCTGGAGTTGCCCGAGGTGAGTGTTTAGTCGTCACCCCGCAATGTCTGAAGAAGCTAACTGTTATTGGTAGAACATCAAGAAGGGCATCGAGGGTCATGCTGTAGGCTGGTACTCTGAGGTGTTTGATCTCCTCTTTGCGGACTTGGACAAGGGCCACGCCAGTCACATCTGGCAAAAGCAGCTGGCCGAGAAGCCCTCCAAGAAGTCCAACGAAGTCGAGGAGGAAGATGAGTGAATCACATCACCAGTCCTCATGCCCTGATGACATACTGTACTCCAGCTCCCGCGGGGGATTGTTCTGTTCCGTTCTGGTCACGTGCGAGGCGTTATTCTGTCGGAAGCATGGTTCGGAGTTGTTTTCTTTTTCTTGTCTATTTCTTTGTCTGGTTTAGATTCACTACAGGGTGTCCTGCCCTTTTTTTATGTTTAGTTGTGGGCGATACCACAACATCGGGTGGAAGTCGACATTTGCCTAGATCGGTTGCCAGGCAGTCCGATCCTGGCCTACGACGAACTGCCACCCCGAAGCCCATCGACCAACCACTCCGCTCTGCGAAAAGATGGGATGGTCCATTCGACCGGCTGTGTATCATTGTTGGATATGTAATAAGCCGGCTCTGGAGATAGAATCGAGCTCTGGCTCTAGAGCTCCCTGACAGTTGTCAGGCTTGTTAATGGACAGTATCACTTCTTGTATGTACATACGAGGCTAGTTGCCTGAGCCATGTTCCGTCTGGACTTTCAATCTATGGTGTAGAAGCTCAGATGCAGTTGGGAGATTGTAGCTCTTTACTTCTATCAGAACTTTGCCGGAGAAGACAAAGGATAGTACTATGTATATCATGGTGCAGATAAGCACAAATGGCTTCCATATCATTGACTTTACTCTGTTACCCTCTACGCCGGATAGTTCGATTCCAATTTATACCCTTATGATAGCTTCAAACGGTGATTATGGACACCGCCGTTCATATAAGATAACATCTGCAGTCTTTGCCCATGATTCTCGCACGATTAGTTCACATCTAAAGACTCACGATGGATCCAAAGTCAATTCTATTCACGTGTCCTCTCTCCAGGCAGTATTCACGGATCCCTCATGCACGATACAGCAGTTTGCCCATGGAGGCGGTGTTGTCTGGCTATAAAACGCCCCTCTCTGCCATGTCCTCTCTTTTCTTCTCACCCTCTCTCCCCACACCCGTTCCTTTACTTTCGTGCGAAGCTCATCGTGACGATCATCAACCATCTTGCTCACCGTGACTCAAAAGAATCCAACGTACTACCCCATCATCCATCAAGATGAAGTTCGATATTCTCTTCATTATGACCCTCTTTGTCGCCTTCGTGGTGTCCGCCGCCGTCCCTGATGTCGATGACACTGTCGATGTCACTCCTACTGATGAAGGTTTGTATTCCACATATCTCTTCTGAGCTATATTAGCATAAGGAATGAACGAGCTAACCCATTCTTTCTGTATCAGACTGGTCTGACTTGGACTTTCTCGCCTGGGACGAGGCTGACGAGGCTGATGACATCGATGACAGCGATGTTGTTGCCCGTGATGAAGGTCTGTCTCATCCATCTTTATTAGCATGATATCTCTCACAAACAAACAATGAGCTAACCTCTTCCTTGAACAACAGCCCTGTCAAACTCCGAAGATGCTCCCGCTTATCATGACGGAGAAATGGGTACCCTGGACCGTCGATGCCACCGTCGCTGCCGCCAGGACTCTCACTGCTGCCACACGGATGTGTGCTTCGGCGGCGTGTGCATTGGACCGGGTCGTTACCCTTAGGTGACATCGAACCCTCATCGATAATTGACCTGGTAGCCTAACAGCATCGCCTTGTCGGTTACATCGTCTGGTACCTGCGGTTATTGCTGAACGATGGGTGAGAATCGGGCTTCAATTACCAGCGGGGGTATTATCTGGGGTGGTAATTCGGAGGTTAATTGTTTTTCACCTTTCTCATTTTCATGTTATGTTCTTGAGGTTTGCTACTCAGTCGATCTGAGACCCTTGCTCCTCCCTCTTCATTTGTTTTCGCTAAATCCACCGTTCTTGTTTGCCAGACGGGGCAATCACCATGGCTTGTACTGCTCTGTTGTCATCCTGCTGTGCAGGAATGATGACCTGAATGGATAGCTAAGGGATAGTCTAGTCGAGTCTAGCGTCATTGACGTGTGCATTGCAAGAATAAATCAAATCCATTCCATACTCTTCTACGGAGTTCATCCTGCCTTGGCATAGCCATAGATAACTGGGAGTAACTAACTACCTAAGGAAGCATAGACCCAGGACGATATAGAGTCTAGATTACATCTAGCCTAGTGAACTGCAGTGTAGTGCAGTCCTTACTACCACTGCAGGATACTATAACCCACCCGGCTTGACGAATTGATCAACCACAGCCGCGCAAAAGGAACAGCATGCTATCACGGCCCCGGGCTATGCATAATCGGCCCTGTTAAACGGCTAGGATGTACTGTAGATATCGCACCAATGACCTGGGGTCTTGAGCTGTCCTATAGGAGCCTCCTGTCTGAGATGGGGGACCTCCGAGGTCGTCACTGACCCCGGATTGGATGCTAGTAAGGGGAAGGGGGAAAGACCACGATTCCGGATGTGACAGGCTGGTTGATGGTTTTGTCCGGGATTCTCCGCATGGGTGGTTAATCAGACTTTTGGAGATCAGCGTGGTGGAGGGGTGAGAGGGTGAAGAGATTATGATGATGATGATGATGATGATGATGATGATGATGATGATGATGATGATGGTGGTGGTGGTGGTGGTGGTGGTGGTGGTGGTGATTTCCTGGTTCCCCTGGTGGGAAGTGTGAAGTCATCGATCTGGCTCTGGGGCGGTGGAAATCCCTGGATAGATTGACAAGTTGTACAGACCATGCAGACATACATACATGTAAGCAACGGGCTGCATACTACGGCTCAAACACGACATCGAACTACTGGCACCCCCGAGTGGCCCTAGGATGTTTTACGCTGCAAGTGCATGACGGGGCTCCAGGAACTGGAACTGAAGCCTGAGGTGGAGGACAGTGATTGGTTGCATCATCTGGTGACCACTCAGTAGGTACTTAGTAGTGGTGTTGTTGTTCCTTGTCTGAATGGAAGCATCACTTTGAAAGTTTAAGAGGGAGGGGTGTGGAGGTGGATTAGTTTGTTCGGAGGAACCAGGTGATGGGAGTAGATTAGGAAGTTGGGGGGAGAACCTGAAGTTGGGAGAGTTGGGAGTATAAAGGATGGAGGGACTTTTAACTTATCTCTGACGGACTATTGGGTCCAGGTGTACAGTCGTCGGTATACTCGGGTTCAGGTCTGTACAGCGTGGCGGCGGTTGCTGGACTCGGCCTCATGGCAGCGGATCCAGCGATACGCTCGGATAAACCAGAAATGAGTGGATGAGGGAATGAATGAGAGGGATTATGTGATTGTGCTGGAGGGTGGTGATATAGGAGACGATCGGAGACGACGACCCGACCAGCTCAGTCGGAGGTAGGCAACACAGGAACGAACGGAAAGGCTTCGAGAAGGATGTTGGGCTGTGCGTCTGCAGTAGCGGACCTGCCGTGGGATGAATCGAGTAGTGCTCCGGCGGTGGTCACTTGAATGAGAACAGAGTATATACGTAGAGACTAGAGAGTCCATACTAGAGAGTATCTACTCTGTATCACCCCTCTCACGTTTCAATCTAGTATAGAGTTAGGGTATTGATCGGGACCCGATCGGAGTCCTCCTCCATTCCATCTCCACCGTGTCTCATCTCCTACAACTACGGCTTCATCCCCATCAGGCACGCACTGTCAGGCCGCCGTGCATCGTCACTGGCTCCAAGCCGGCGGCTGTGATTGCTGATTGCTGCTCCAGATTCAGTATTGGCATCCTTCATCCCGAGGCGGCTGGGGATTTCCTGTCCCCTACGTAAGGATCCGATTGTGCGTTCGCCGTTTCTTCCATCGGCCTTCCATTGGACCTGTTCCATCGGGCCCAGTCCTGCCAATCTCTTTCCCTCTTTTCTCCTCGCAACTCTTCATCACTCGGACTCCATTGCCATTCTGTTCTTTTCCCCATCCTCGGTCTCGTGGGCGGTGAATTCATCAGTCTCCTCCTCCACTCCACCTTTTCCCCATCATCACCATCATCATCATCCCATCTATGGATCAACTGATCGATTGGTGATATATTCATCCAATCCTCGGTCTCTCTTCCTGTGCCTTCAGCCCAACCAGCCTTGCAGCCGGGCGACACCTACTACTGAGTTAGTCGGTCTACTATCGACTCGTCTGCGCCCCCATTCGCCGTCTCCCCTTCCTCGTCATCCTTATTTGCCTGGGGTGCTCTTTATGCCCTCCTCTATCCCACTGCTTTGTCACTCCCTCTGTCGTTGACCCCCCAGTAGTAGCAACCTGACAACAACAGCAATATCTCTCGTCGTCACAGTTACAGTCATAAGAACCAGAACACCAGCAAATTCCCCCCTCCATATCGTCATTGTGCGACCAGTGGGACTCCCATTGCCTGGGCAAAAGCAGTGCCTGGCCAACAACCAACTCAAATTCTCACCGACTTCTTCAGGGACATTGCTTTCGTTTTATTTATTTATATCACTGAAATCCGAGTTTAAAAGTTTCTATTTTCTCTTCCGTTTCTTGAATCTGTTATTGCCCATTGGTCTACTTTAGCACCGATTCCAGTCGATTTTTTGCTTTTGGCCCCTGCTTTCTTTTTTCCTCGCTCGTCTCATCCACAGGCCTTAATTTTAATACTTCCCCCCCCTTTGCGTCACACCTGTGAGAATTTCACACAGGGTTACAGTCACTGCTGACCACAAGGATTCCGGCGCAATTCTTATGGACATCGCCATTCCATCCCCTTCGGGTGTTCCAGTCGTTCTCCGCACGACAGTTTAGCGATCGGGTCGAGCCGTATGGCCATCTCCATCGCCGACAGTTCTTGTAGCCCGACGAGGTCGCTGGGTCTGTTGTTGGACCCAGAAAAGGCCGACCTCCCCCGTCCCAAACAGAGCATGTGGCATCGCCTGGGCCTTCGCAAGTGGCTGGGCCGCGAGGATCGAGATTTCTCCTCACATTCCCCCGCCGGTGACGCTGCCCCCACTGCAAATAAACCCAGTTCTCCAGCCGCCCACAACAATCATAATGGTAATCAAAATCCGGGCGGCCAGACCGACAACCACAAACCTCACGCCCGCCTCAGCAAACCTCACGACCTCACGCGTCGCCTCTCCAGAAAGGTCGGAGTCGGTCTGCCCCGAGCCCCTACCTTCAAGCGCCAGAATTCCGAACGACGAGACAATCTGCTGCCCCCTGAGCCCGAACCCCGTCGCGCGGTGTCCGCCGACCGTCGTCGCGCCGTGAGTTCCCAGCGGTCCAGATCCCCACCGCCCACCGTGGACCCCAGACTATCCGCACCCGAGGTTCAGTGGCGCGAGGCCCCAAGCGAGACCACGGTCGAACGACTACCCGAAGCGAATGAGGACAGCGACTTCCACTCGGAATGGAACCCTTGCCCTGACGTGGCGGAAGCTCCCGAGGAGCTACCGGACGATACGCTCGAGATGGAATTGGAGAAGCGATGGATTTTGAACCTCAGCATGCATTTTCGGGATCGCTCGGAGCGGGAAAAGTTTTTCGTCACATATGCGGAGACCCCGACTCGATGGCGACGGGTCACCATCTCCTGCGATTATCGTGGCGCTCCCCCCGATTCTCTCGAACAAGACCTGCGGGAATTGCGGTACCAGCGCGACAAATGCGCCCGAATCTACGAATCGATCCGGGAATCGTTATCGGAAATTCAATTTTACGACACGGTGACGAACCTGAAGTTGGAGACCCGAGATGGACGCCTGCACGTCCACGTTACGGAAGACGTCAATGAGATCATCCCTTACCCTCCGGTTTCTTGCATCGGGCATTTGCCGCAGGCCCGACTGATTCCGGAGAACCAGCTTCATTTTGAGGCGCACTTATCCGGGTTTGTCTATAACGTCAACCTAGAGGGCAAGTCCTACATCAAGAAAGAAATCCCTGGCCCCGATACAGTAGATGAATTTCTGTACGAGATTAATGCGCTCCATGCTCTTCAAGGCACTCCTTATGTGGTTCAGGTAGAAGGAATCGTCGTCGACGACCAGGAGCAGGTGGTCAAGGGGCTTCTCATTGGCTTTGCGGAGAAAGGAGCGCTGGTCGACATCCTTTATGAAAACCGCGGCACCATTGCATGGGAACGGCGGGAACGCTGGGCGAGGCAGATCGTCCACGGGCTTTGCGAGATCCACGAGGCTGGCTACGTACAAGGAGATTTTACGCTTTCCAATATCGTTGTGGATGCCGACGATAACGCCAAGATCATTGATATCAATCGTCGGGGCTGTCCAGTGGGATGGGAACCCCCAGAAATTGCGGCGAAGATCGAGAGTAACCAGCGGATCTCGATGTATATTGGGGTCAAGACGGATCTCTTCCAGCTCGGCATGACTCTGTGGGCGCTGGCAATGGAGGAGGATGAGCCGGAGCGACAGCCGCGTCCTCTGATGCTAGATGAGGACGCGCGCGTACCGGACTACTACCGTAGGTTGGTCTCTATCTGCTTGAGTCCGTCTCCCCGACACCGACTGTCAGCCAAGGAGCTTCTGGGCATTTTCCCCCGCAGTATGTGGACTACGGAGCCATCTTTCCCTCGAATCCACCCCGCTCATACGGGCCTCGGCGTTGCCTTGCAAAATGGCGCTTTGCCGCCGTATGACCCTCGGGCGGCCTTTCTGTATCAGCACACGCGGCCTGTAGCCAACGGGGGTTCCTTTGACACTCAGCTGTCGCTGGATGACGCATACTCGTTACCGCAGGATGACAGTGATCTTGTGTCTTCGCCGGATAGAGAGCAATTCGATCCGCCCAAAGAGCAGCAAACCCGGACAATAGAAAGAGACCTGCTTGAGATTGAGCCATCTGCGGAGCAGCAAAGAAGAATACCATCGGTGAATGGGCTTCCACTTCAGCCGACGTTGAGAAGCGCCCAGGAACTTCGCCACTGTGTTTTTTCGAGCCCAAAGGAAGATGAGCTTGATCTGGATCCCAGCGTCAATGCGTTCTATCGACGGGCCTCAGTAGACCGCGCCACGGGTCAGATCCGATTGCCTGGAGAGCTTCCTGGGGGCGGTGATCAATACGCTAGCTCTTTGAATCGACATTCAAGAAGCAACCTATCAGACAATGGGAGATATCAGGAGTCTCCCTTGTCGTCAGCAGCCACTCAGTCTACGGACCTGTACCCGGCTCACTTGGGAGATCTGGGTCACGCGCTAATTGATGATGAACATTGGTCGGAAGAGCCGTCGCGCTCGGTGTCTTCCCTTTTGCATTCAATTCTCCCTATCAACCCGGCATCCAATCTCTCGGAGCAAAAACTGATCGACTCTGATGCGGACCGGTTTTCCCATCTGAACATTCGATCTGCCTTACGATACCCTCGCCAGGGCCTTCAAGAACCCACCGCGTATTTGAGTGACTCGCATTTACCCATCAACCCAGCCTTTACAGAGACGGCCTTGGCGCCCATATGACCCAAAGAATGTCCTCATTTCAGGCAGCCGTCACTTGTTCACACGTTGTCCATGGTTTGGAGTCTGAGGCATGGGACTGGACAGTGCGCGATACCCTGCGAGTTGCACTGTACAGATAGTTTTTAAGCGTTGCTTTCTTCAGCGGACATGATGGCGATTGGCGTTGATGACTTTCGGGTTTGCGTTGTTCTCACTTTTTCGTTTTCTTCCTTTTTTGATTACTACAGCGCAACCTCTAAAAGCCCAGGACTACCAGATTCTCTCTATCGCGATTGCGACCAATCTCAGGAACACGGCTGTCCAGCAGCGTGTGATTTCTCCACAACGTTCCATCTTGCTTTCACCCTACCTACCCTACCTACCCTACTTACGACTTACGACCGGTTGGATATTGTCTTTTGCGCGTTCACTCACAGTCCCATGTACACTGGTTGTTAATACTATTCTCCGCAGCAACTGTATTAATCAAGGATGATTTGAATGACTACTCCCTACACGTTCAGCCTCGATTAGGTTTAGAATATCCTCTAGTTTCTCATTTAATTTTACATCACCGTACTTTCCATCTTCTCCTCTTCATCATTCATCATCATCGTCATCAACATCATCACAATCATAACAACCCCATCTATCCACGCACCAAAACCTCCTCAAAACTCCTCTGCCACGGCCCCGCATCCCCGCCCAGCCCCCGTCCAATCAAAACAACCTTACACTGCGTCTTTGCATCCTGGGCGGGTTCTGAATCCCGGATTTCGAACACGTCTCGTACCGCTTGGATAATCTTGGTTGATCCGTCATTCAGCACCAGGATGCCTTTTAGGCGGTGGATGTCGAAGCTGCTGGGCCCGGATACTTCCGATGCGAGGGGCATGATGGAGTCCCAGAGGACGGATTGGAGCCAGGTGTCGATGTGGGTGACTTGGGAGGGGGTGATGGGTGGGGTGGTGATTGCGATGGTGGAGATGGCCTGTCGGGTTAGTATGTCGTTGTGTGGTGGTGTAGGGGGGTGAGAGGAATGGGATGGGGATGAACGCACCGGATCAAGATGACTATGACCTTTTTGAGCGAAATCGAGACTATCGAGATGATCGTATGCGTGCAGATCGAGCACTACGCCTTCGATCTTTGGGGTCTTGCTGTGGTCTGTGATGTGGATTTTGGCGGCGTTGTTGATGGCTGTGACGCGGTCTTTGACACGGGCGAGTTCGTCCTGCGTGACGAGGTCGGCTTTGTTGAGGATGATTACGTCGGCGTGGGAGATTTGCATGTGGGCCATGGAGAGGACGGGGCCGGAGTGCGAGTGCGAGTGCGAGTCAGTGTCAGCGTCAGCGTCGGCTCCATGGCTGGAGACGGTTTCTTCCAGGGTGGGCTCGTCCAAGAGATGGAGGATGTTTTTGGCGTCGACGAGCGTTACGATACCGTCGAGGTAGATGCTGCTGCCGAGGTTGTCGTCGACCCAGAAGACCGGGGCGATGTTGCCGGGGTCGGCGAGACCGGTGGTTTCAAGCAGGATGTAGTCGAATGCGCCGCGGCGTTCCATGAGGGATTCGATGGCCATGACGCCGTTGTCTCTGGTGTGGTTAGATGGGTGATTGGGAGAACATACAGGAAGGGGAGGAGTACTTGACGGAGCAGCAGATGCAGCCGTTGCCGACTTCCATCCATTCGGTCACTTCTTGACCGTCTTGGTTGACGGTTAGGGGCTTCTCGATGTCGGTTGCTGCAGGAGTCAGCTGTTGCTGTGAGTCTATGTTGTATGGCCTTACAGTCTCCGAATTCTACACAGTCTTAGCATCTAGTGGTCTATCAAGGTGTGCACTCACCGTTCATGATCACGGCAATCTTCTTGCCATGCTTTTCGGTGAGGATATAGTTCAACAGCGTGGTCTTGCCGGCTCCGAGATAGCCTTGACACGAGGTTAGTGTGGATCTACGGAGGATTGTTTTGCTGCTCTACAAGAGATCGATCTGCATGTGTCGCATCACATCATACCAGTCACAAGCGTGATGGGCACGCGGCTCTGAGCCGGCGTGTCCACTGACGTCGATGGCGCAAGGTCGGGGGCGGTGGAGACATCGACCAGCTGGGGTGGGGCATCTTCGTCGTCCATGTTGACACTTGACAAAAAGTATGAGTTCAAGGGTAGCAAGAGGGGATGCGGAGGTGAAGATGGGATGAGATGGAGGCAGTCGGGGAATGACGTTGCCCCAAGAGGCAGGCTAGGGCTTAGGGCACCGGGAGTCATGGGCGGCGAAGCCAACCAGGCCGATGCCAGTCATGGCGGCCCGTCCGGCCAGCTCCATCTTATCTCCTCCCAGCTCTGTTTATCCACTTCTCCAATTCTCGTCTCTCCTTTCTCCCCCCATTCCTCTCTTTTAATTCTCCCCGCTCGTGCCTGCGAATATACTCGCCATGGCTGCTGCGGGCGTCTCCCAGGCTACCTCCCCACGCCTGCCCAGTCCTCCCCCGTTCACGGAGGTCCAGATCGGGCCCAAATCGCCCTCGGTCGGCGAGTCCTTCGACCACGAGACCGAGCGATTGCTGGGCGCTTCACAGAATGCGGAGGATGGCTCGACGCGGAGGATCCGCCCGGGCACCAGGGCCGTTGACATGGCCTTTGGACCTCCTCTGATTCCTCTTTCCCAGGTACGACTGTAAACAGGCAGCTCCGTCCGATCCTTGCTCCGCTGACCCCAGCCCCCTTTCTACGATAGCTCGATTCCCCCTTTCAACTCCAGGAACACCTCAAAGCTTTATACAATCACTACACACGACCCGAAGGCACAGACACGGTAGTCCCCATTAGCCGGGAGGTCGCCATCCAGCTTGCGGAACCGCCGGACGGCGTCGACCGGTCGCTATGGCTCTACGAACTGTGTCGCTTCCTGACCATGAAGGTCAACAACCTCCTCATCGCCTTCTTCGCCGATTCACCCCCCTGCTCCGCCCAGACCTGCCCCGAAATGCGTGCATCTGAGTGGCAGTATCTCTGTGCTGTTCATGACCCGCCCAAATCCTGCTGCGCCATTGACTATTGCTGCCACACCCTCGATTGGGCCACGAATATCCTCACATCACCCAAGTACTTCCCCAGCCGGCTGACTCTCGGTTCGGAAACTGGCGGTGGCGCACAGGCCAGCATGAGACACCTGACCAACATCTTCCGTCGGTTGTATCGCATCTTCGCGCATGCCTGGTTCCAACACCGAGAAGTGTTCTGGCAGGTGGAGGGACACGACGGGCTGTATATCTTCTTCAAGACGGTCTGCGACATGTATAGTCTTATTCCGGAGGACAATTACACGGTGCCTGCGGAGGCCGAAGGCGTCGATGTCCAGCAGCCGGCGGCGCTGGAGCACACGGACGGGCGTCGGATGACGATCCTGCGCAAGGATAATGACTCGTTTGCGGCGTCGCTGGAGAACATTGAGCCGGCTTCCATCAGCACGGGAGCTACCACACGGCGCCACAAGAACAGCCCGTCGGTCAGCTCGAGTGTTACGACCATCAGCGAGGGTGCTGAGGATGACGAGCAGCCGAGACAGCAGGCCGTTGCGGCGGCAACAGCTGCGGTTGCTGCAGCAAATGCCGCTGCAGCTGCGTCTTCCCCTGCGGCGTCTGCTCCTGCTCCTACTCCTGCCCCTCCCCCTGCTGCTGCTCCAGAGCCCGAGCCCGAGCCAACACCGGAGGTCAGTGTGGCGCAGGCGTCCGAGCCGGAGCCGGCAGCTGACAGCAACGGGTCTAAGATTACTGTTTCCGAGGTTCATGCCGAGGACGAGGAGGCTGCTCCGGAGTCGACAGAGAAGCTGGAACCGGAACCAGCGGAGCCCGAGACCAAGGTCGAAGCGGAACCGGCGGCTGAAGCTGAGGCAGAAGCTGAGGCGAAAGCTGAAGATGAAGCCCCTGTAGAGGTTTCAGAGACTGAGGCTGCAAAGCCCGAAGCAGAGTCGGAAGCAAAGCAACCCAGCGAGGAAGCGCCGGCGGAAAGCGAGGCGCAGGCGTAGCACTCATTTCTTTCTGATCTCTTCTGACATGATGCCATGTGTCGATACCACGGTTGTAATATGTCTTGCGTGACGGACGGCATGTTAGACGGGCCTGATGTAATATACGACTCGAGCGAGTTAATGATACCCTTAATGTGTGGTGCAGTATTCTGTAGGTGATGCTGACTCCAGTACTCCGTAGTGAAGCTAACTCCGGGTAACTCCGATCGATATCGATAGTGACGATCGTCTCCACAGTCGTAGCTTGCCATTCCTGCCTGCTTCTGCCAACCACTCCACTGCACATACCACTCCCTGTACATATCATTGTCATTGCACATACCTATACCCATTCACATATCACAATTCACTGTATCAACATCTACATGTCCACCACCACCAACACCCCCAGCATCAACAGCACAACCATGTCCATCCCCCCCTCGATATCCCACATCCTCAAAGCCGGTCCCATCCACTTCGGACCCTTTCTCGTCACCACCCAGGTATCCCCATGCCTCCCTACCCCCCCAAACCACCCCACTAACCAACCCCCTCCCCTCTGACAAAAAAAACAGGTCTTCCACCTAACACCCCACACCTACGCCCTGGTAAACCTCAAACCCATCCTCCCAGGGCACGTCCTAATCTCCCCCCGCCGAGTGGTCCCCCGAGTAACCGACCTCACCCCCACCGAAACCTCCGACCTGTTCCTCACGGTCCGACGCGTGGCGCGCATGATCGAGCGGGTGTATGGCGCCTCGAGTCTGAATATTGCGATCCAGGATGGGGTGGATGCGGGACAGAGTGTGCCGCATGTGCATGCGCATGTGATTCCCAGACGGAGGGGGGATTTGGATGCTAGGGGGGGTGTGGATGCCGTTTATGAGTTGTTGGATGGGGAGGAGGGGGATTTGAGGGGGGGTTTGGGGGCGGGTGGGGATGGGAATGGGGGGAGGGGGAGGAGGTTTCCGAAGGTGGATGATGAGGGGAGGGTGGCGAGGGGGATGGAGGAGATGGAGGGGGAGGCGTGGATGTTGGCGAGGGAGATGGAGAGGGAGGTGGAGGTTGGTGAGTAGGTTTGATGTATTTAATAAAAATGTTGGTATGGTTATGGTGTAGTATAGAAGGTATGTATGATGTCTATTGCTAGTCTAGAGAATTAACACAGCCTAACGCCGCACGCAGCATCCGAAAACATATCCGTTCGTCCATCCATGTCCACATCCACAGTTATAAACATAACGCCATATATGTATGTGTATCACATCATGCAGTCTTGCTCTTCCAGAATGCCTCCCGCTCCTGCAACACCGTCGCCGCCCACTCCTTCGTCTCCGGGAGTTGGACCTTGCTCGCGACGTGGCAAAACTCGGTCAGATCGATGCCGTTGGCACGCTCGTACTCCACCATCTGCAGCAGCAGCTCCATCTTGTCGACATCATGAACGAACTGCGCCTCCAGCGTCTCATTGGCCTCGTACTCGTTGAACACCTTCAGGATCTCCTGACCCGTCAGCATGCCACCCGGCACGCCGCCCAGGAGGTTGTTGGCAATGTAATCCATGACTGCGGCCTCGCGACGCGCCTTCTCGGGCTTGTCGACCTTGTCCACGGGGGTGATGTCGCCGACAAGAGACTCGGCCATATCGTGGACCAAGGCCATCTTCATGCAGTGTGGTAGGTTGAGGCGGGAGGCCAGCGAGGGCGGTGCGAACATGGTCATCACCGACATGCGGTACATGTGGTCGGAGATGGATTCGCCAGAGTTGATGCCGAACCGGCGCCAGCCTTCACGCTTGGTGGTCTTGAGACGCTCGAGGAGGTGGAAGAAGGGGATCGGCGACGCGGAGTTCTCCTCCGGGGGGTGGGGGAGGGTGCTCAGGACTGGGGTTAGTGACTGTTAGCTGCTGGCTGGCTGAACGTGCGTGATGGAGGGGTGGGGGGCTCACCGGACTGAGTGGTCCAGAGGGGATTGGAGGGGTTTTCAGAACCCATGTTGAGAGGATAGATGAAGAGTGGAGAGTAGAAGAAAATATCAAGGGATAAGAAAGAAATCAAATGAAATTGACACAGGCTGAGAGGGAAGAAAAGAGGAAGAGAGAAGAGGAGAAGAGAAACTGCGGGGAGAAAAGCGGTCGGATTGGTTGGACCAGTCAGCGGATCGCCATTAACTAGTGACTTCAGAGTTGGGGATCTCCTCGTTCCATCTCCTCTCTCCGTGTTTTATGCTCGGCTCGTCTCGTGGCTGTACAGTGTACACGGGTATGTCTAACATTGACGACTATAATATTATATCTACTGACACCCTCAGGTGAACATGCAGTCGCGAACCCCTCGCCTCAAACCGCCCTCCCCCAACTGGGCCCCTCAGCCTCCCCTCTCCGTCTTTGTCCGCAACCTCCAACTCCTCCAGCTCGATCGGCACGATGACTGGCCTCACATCTCCCTCCGCACCCTTGCAGACACGTCGCAGAACCAGCGCCAGCGTGTGAGGGCCATTGAATGGGCGCTATACCATCTTGTCGCCCTCTGGGACCCCAGCACCGCTCGGGATGTATGGCCTCCGTCCCCCTCTGCCTTGGTGCCCGACTGACGGCCGCAGAAACTCCGTCCGTTCTTCCCTCCGCTCGAGCCCCTACAGTCGGTTAATCTGCGCGCCGCCTTGTTCCGCGTGCTCTCCGATTTAAAGAAACAGGGGGATCTGGGCAAGGAGGTCATTCTCCGCAAGTCAATGTTGGATGACTGCCGGGGGGAGAAATTCGAGGAACTGCTGGCCGTCTTCTCCACCGCTGTGCTGCGGAAGACCCTGGTCGCTTCTTCAGATCCCGGCCTGCAAAATGTGGCCATGAGACTCTCCCTGGCCCCGGGCCTGACTCGCGAGGAATACCAGCTCATGCTTCCCCTCGTGCTGGCTCACCGTGTCTCCCTTAATCAGATCGGGGAGCGTCGCAAAAAAGCCCAGGACACCCAGGAAAGGTTCGCCCACTTGCTGGAGCTCAAGAAGCTACAGCTCGACGAACGGGCCAAGGAAAACCGCCCTCAACTCCCTGACAATGGCGCCGACGTTGATGCCCTGGCCCGTGACTTCAAAGAGAGCTGGTTGGGCCGTGAAGACTGGGCCGATGCCCTACTTCACGGCGGTGCTCAGGGCAGTAACGACGCCTTTCTAGAGCTTTCTTTTGATGCTGCCTGGACGAAAGCCAAGGAGTCCACCGTGGACGGTCTCCGGGCGAACACATCCCCCGATCTGCTTGTCGATCTAGAATCTCGCGTCTTCCGCCAGCGAGCCCGGCTGCAGCGCTGGCGCCAGTACAGCGCCTCTATGCGCAAGCATGACCGGGTAGAATCGACCAGCTCCAGGTCCCAGCCGCTCGTCTTCCGAGAGCACCAGGCACTCACCGTCGCCAGCATCTCCAAGGCCGTACGGCAGCCGGTGGAGCGTGCATCTCCTAAGGCAGACGACCGGGCGCTGCTCTTCTCCATGAACGAGGCCCTGGCCCGGATCAACGGCCGGTCTGCCGCGCGTCACCGCCACACCAAGAGCGAGTCTCGGACACGCAACACCACAGCAGTGCCGTCTTCACTTTCCGCTGAAAGACATCCATCTTCCCCTACCGACGAGCAAGATACGCCCCGCCCATCCACAAGGACACCTTCGCCCCCAACTCCAGAATCTCAATCCAGCCTCCCATCCTTCTCAACCACCCAAGCCCCAGAACGCCCCCCATCTCCCTCCGAACCACCCAGCCGATTCACCCTCGTCGAACGAACCCGCAAATCCATGTCCCTCATCCCACCACCCACCAACACCCGACCACGAGAAAGCTTCCGATCCCATCGCCCCCGTCCCTCATACCCAGTGAACCAGTTCGAAACGCCCCAGAAACCGCACCCCATCCCCAGGGCCTCCACGCCACGCGACCAGCTGTTCGACGACGAAGCCGACTACGCCAGCGTCTTCAAGTCGCGGCCCCGCGTGGCACTCAGCCCGGTTGCGTCGCCCGCAGTGCATATCAGTCCGATTGGCGATTTTGATCTAGGCGCCGACGAGGACGTTGATCTGGATGAGCTAGGCGAAGGAGACGAGTATGCACAGGATACCCCGTTAGCGTCGAGACGGCGGGTACTGTGAGACTCACGTTGGTTTTCATTCATTTCATTCTTATACTTAATATTCATGTTTATACCCTACCGCTACTACCACGATTAATGTTTATAGATCAACTGAAGCAAGCAGTACATGATGCAAAGTACACGAAATAGCATTATTATCCCATCATTAATACTATCATCATATCTAATTATCTCCTTATCATTACCATTACCAAGTTCCATTCTATACCTCATACATACCACCAACACCAGACATAGTGACCAACTCTAAAAACCAACACAAAACTCCAAATGAAAAGACAACTACCTACCACCACGTCGTCTCCGTCTCCGCGTCCTCGGCGGCTCATACTCCGGCTCTGAACCATCCGAATCCGGGATCTCGATTGGCGGGGAAGACAGATCATCCGAGTCGGAACTCAATGAGATGGGACCATCATCGTCTGAATCCTCAATCTCGGTATTCGCAGTCCGAGTTTGCGATGCGGGTGGCTGCTGTGGTTGCAAATAACGGGAATGGTTATGTTCGTGGTGATCCACGATCAAGCCCCCATTATCAGCAGCATCGCCCTCGCCAGGGAGAAGGAATCCACCGCCTTGGTCTGCGGAGTCGTTATTGTCTTCGCCCGGGAGGAGAAATCCACCACCGTGGTCGGTAGGATTCTCGTCTTCGTCGGGGCGGGGGAAGCCTCCGCCTGGATGGGCAGAGTCGGTATCATGCTCCGATGGGTGAGGGGTAGGTATAGATGTAGGCAACCGGTCCCGACGATTCGTAAACGGGTTATGGAGATCGCGCTCCTGATCGCCCGAACCACCGTACTCGTCGCGGACGCGCTGCGCAATGCGCAACCCGAAGAGAAACTTCCGCCAGGTTTGGAGAATACGTGCTTCTGCTTTGCGTTGTTCGCGCTTCCGTTTCTCGGCGTCGTCGGCACGCCAGGCGTCTTTCACGAGGGCCTCGTTCTCGGCGGCGACGACGACGCCTTGGATGACGGGGACGGCCATTTTGGAACCGAACTCGAAGCCCGTGACGGCTTCGGCGTAGTCGATGCCGAGTTTCTTGCAGACGCGGACGGTGCCGGGCCAGGGGATGTGGGCGGCGCCGCGCGGGACCATGCTCGGGACGAAGCAGTCGATGTTGCCGTAGTCGTTTTTGGGGATGATGCCGTCGCGGATCGGGGGTGGGATGATGTATTCGGTTTGGTGTTTGGCGTAGAGTCCCTGTTTGGGCTTTTGGCCGTTTTCGCGCTCGAATTCATCGACTTCGCGCTTGCGGAGGAGCGTGACGGCGCGGATGGGGACGTGTTTCAGTGGGGGTTCGCCGGGTTTGATTTGGCGGCCTTCTTTGTGCCAGCTTTCGGCGGATTGGCATTTCAGGACGTCTTTGCGTCGGAAGACTTTTTCTTCTTTGGCTTTGGCGCCCTTGCCGGTGGTGAAGGTGCGGACGTGCTGGGCGCCGGGTTTGAGGGCTTCTTCGCGGCGGAGGAAGCGTTCGAGGACGAACTCGGTGGATGTGCGTAGACTTTGCAGGGTGTCGCCTTCTTTGGCGGCTTTGCGTTCCGGCTGGTTGGGGAGGAGGTCCTTGGCGTCTTCGATCTCGTCGACGGTGGTGCGCTGGGAAGGGGCGCGTTGGTAGACGCGAAAGATCACGCGGAACCAGTCGATTTCGTAGAACTGGCCTTTGCGCCCTGGTACGGGGATCTTCTCGACGGGCATTCGGTAGCCCTTGGTCTTCCCCGGCCAGGTGCGGCGTCGGAGATAGCGCGTGGTGACATCTTTGGCGGTCTTGTCTGCGGAGTACGCGATGACGTAGCAGATGACTTGCTTGGCTTTTTCAGCTTTGACACCGCGCGGCTCAAAGGCCGCCTGTAGGTCGGGTGTGGTGGCTACCGGGTTGCGGAGGACCAGCGGGTCGACGGGGATGATCTGATGAGTGATGGGCGAGGCCACCTCGGTCCAGTAGATGGGGAAGGGCGGGTCCTTGTCGTATCCACGGGGATTCTTGCTGCGGGGGTTGGCGTCTTCACTGCTGTCGGACTCGGAATCAACCGCGTCTTCGGTCTCTGCATTCTCCGTCGTAGGCTCCGTGTCTGCGCGCGCTTTGGTCGTGTAGGTCTCGGACTTGGTCCAGCCGAAACCCAGGGGCTGCAGACTGGCGACCAGTCGGGCTTCAATGTCGAGAGCACGCAGCAGCGCGGTGAACAGCTGGGCGCCTACATCTCGCGAGCCCTGCATGTTCTCTGCAGCCTGCCGGAACTCTTCGATACCAGCGATCCTCTCCCCGTGTTTCTCAGGGTCGTGGTCGTCCTTGTGGAAGGAGGTAATCTGAGCCTCCAGTTGCGCCATGGGGCGGTACCCGTGTTTCCGTAGGCCTGGAGCGGTGATCTTGAACCGGCTCTTCCAGTAGGCGACCAGGACTTTGAGGAGGAGGATGATAGGATCTCCGCCGCTCATATCAGGTTTCCCAGGTTCCATACGCGACGAGCCTTCAGCCCAATCCCGGTCAGACTGGCGACGCTGTTTCCCTTTGCCTTTCTTCGACTTTTTCGCGGGCGGTGGTTCTGGTATTTCGAGTCCGGATGCGATGCGCCATTTCTTCACTTCCTCGCGAATAGGTGGGAAGAGTTTGCGACGGAGGATCTCGTGGACCTGCGAGTCGTTGGCCCAGGCATTGCGAATGGCGTTGTGATGAAGCAGAAACTGCACATGCAAACAATGGGTCTGGATGCGGATCTGGCGTTCAATCTTGGACGGGGCTTTTTTGCCTTCGAGAAGGTCGGACAGATGGATCTCGTTCTTGTCTAGGGTCAACTCGAGATCCTGGTGCTGGTCGCGCGTGAGGATGGAAGGCGTCATTGGGGTGGCGCTAGCAGGATTGGACTCGATGGCGTCCTCCCAGTCCACCTCCTCGGAGTCGCTGCTTTCTTCAGATCCATTGTCTCCCTGAGCAATCTCCTCTGGCACATCGCTTAGGGAAGATTCGGAGTCGGTGTCGGGGACGACGGCGGCGATGGAGGGCGTCGCATGATGACGTTTGGCAGCGGGCGGATCCTCGGAGGAGAGACGCTTGCGGGGGACGAAGGGGGGCATACACGCAGAGATTGAATTGAGCTGGAAGAAAGAGGTAAAAGCGAAGACACGAGGAAAGGTTGTTGGAGTGAAAAGTTGGGTGATGGAAGAAAGTCGAAGAAAGGCGTGATTATTGGATGGTCGCCTCGAGTCTCGGCTTCTCCGCGTCTCCAGATCCTCCCCCACCTCATCTCTCCATCTTACATAGTACTCTCATCCTACAAAACTATTTTATTCATCTTCTATTAAGAACTACGTCTACAAAGTGACCATGTCAGCTACGATGGATGCCGCACGCCGCTTCTTCTTGTCGCCGCAGTTTGCCGTGGCGGGAGCCAGCAACGATCGCAGCAAGTTTGGCTACAAGAGTAAGTCTGCTATCTAACTAATTCATCACTGCTTCAACTGACCAGCAGTCTTTGCTTGGTATCACCAACACTCTCTGCCCGTCATTCCCCTTAACCCCCGCGCCCCCGAGATCGAACTGCCGTCACAGCAGTACCAGACGGTGCCCTCGCCCCGCGCCTTGCCCAACCCCGACCAGACCTCACTCTCCATCGTGACGCCTCCCCCAGTGACTCTCGCCCTCCTCAAGGAGGCCCACAGTGTGGGGGTCCCCGCGGTCTGGCTGCAGCCCGGCACCTACGATCAGAGCGTGCTGGACTTCTTGGAGGGCCATTTTGCGACGACGGTGGTGGGCGATGGGGGAAGAGGCGGCGAGGGCTGGTGTGTGCTGGTGGATGGTGAGGAGGGGTTGCGAGCCGCTAAGCGGGAGTGGAAGGCTCAGCTGTAGATACTATCCACTAGATAACTAGTTGATTGAATTTAATTTATCATGTAATGAAGCATGTTTGGCGGTGAGAGTGAAGTGGAGCAAAAAGAACGCAAAAAGAAGAAAGAAAGAGGGAGGCTGGCGGTTGTTGGGGAAATCCGCGATCCGCCTTGGATTTTGCCTGCTTTTTTCGCCTTCTCCTCATCTGCTTTTCTTCCCTCCTTCTCTTCCTCCTTCACCCCCAACATTATCTGCATCTCCCACGTTCTTTTCCTCCCATCTTATGCAACCCTGCCACCCTTCCTCGAACGATGCCCGCCAGTCCGTTCTCCCTCGACGCCCCCATCCCTCCGCATCTTGACCTGGCCGGTGCTCGTTCGCAACTGTTCCAAGTGCCGCCCACCCCCTCGGCCTCATCCGCCTTGTATCGCTCCATTTCCATCCCCAACCGCAAGAGATCCCGCCCTGAGGTTGAGAATCGCTCCTGGCTGGACATCGATGCTCCCACCACCCGAATCCCCTCATTTTTCTCCCCAGATGATTATCTTCCCGGGGTGGATGACATCTCTGCCGATCTCGACTACCGCCCCAGTCGGTATCGCAATCCCCCGCGCCCCATCACCCTCGATGACAGCATCGAGTCCCTCAGTGAAGCCGCAGGCATCCGCCGGAAACGCAGTCGTCCGGACCCGTCGTTGATCGCGGCCTCTCCCCTCACTTCGCCCCTCCATCACAATGAAAAGATGACCCCCAGCGGCGAGGCTTCTCCGCAACTGGCTCCGGTCCGCTGGAGTCGGGCGGTGCTCGGCGTGGTCGGCAAAGTCTGGGACTTTTGCTGGGGGGGAGCCTTTCGGGGTTTCTATGCGGGAGGCGGTCGAGGCTATACCATGACCGCGGAGGATGTATCACTGCCGCTACCCGCCCCATCGACTGAAAAGGAAAACTTCATCTTTGCCCCGACCCCTCAGCCCCAACAAGGTCCTGCCAGTCCTCTGCCCGGCAAGTATCCGGACGAGGACGATCTCAACCGCAGCTGGGTCATGGTCTCTGCCCGCGAAGGATTCGGGGACGAAGCCAGCCCATCGCAGCGCCGGCGAGTTCATCGCCGGACCCCAGCACATGCCCACAGCCGCCGGCGGTCGCAGGGTAAGCGCACGCTGATGACGCCGCACGCGCCGTCCATGCCGACCCGGGCACAGTTCTCGACGCCGGCCAAGCCGCGGGAGAGCCCCGTCTCGGTGGAGACGCAGCGCTACATGGCGCAGAAGCGACGCATGGAGCGGGAGGAGGATGCCAGTCTCGCGCGGTTGAACCGCCAGCTTCAAGCGATGATCAAAGAGGGCCAGCAGGCGCTGGGAACTCGCGTGGAGGTGAACGACCTGGATATGGAGGATTAATGCGTTTGAACTTGTCTTATTGGACCTGATACCCTTCGTTGAACCTACGAACCTCTTGATGATGGCGACGCTCGTTACGACTGACGAATAATGACTGCGTGCCTCGTTTACTGGCACGCGTGCTACGATATTGTTATAGCTAGCTACTAGGCAGAACCACAGAATATGGATATTGTAACTGCATCAATCATTGAATCATTGGCTTTACTTGATTATGGGTTTCCGGCTTCAGCTCCAGCTCCCGCCCCAGCACCTGCTCCTTCTCCAGCTCCAGCATCAGCACCCCCCGCCGACTCATCCTGAGTCGGATTGGGATTCAAAAACGGCAACTCGACGGTCGACAAGAAGCCAGCAAGACCTCCTTCGCGAGCTATTCCATCGAGGAGATCGGAGCCTTGGAATCGGGCGACTTTGGTGGTGGACTGTTGATGTTAGTTTATACCTTTGATTATCGGTAGGGTAGGGTAGAAGAGGGGAGGGTGGGGTAGGTATGGTAGGGTAGAGCAGGGTAGGGGGCATGTAACGTACGGGAATCGGTAGCGCTACACTCGCGGTGATGAGAGCGAGGGTGGCTGTTGTGGTGAGGGAGAACTTCATTGTGATTTTGTGATATAGTTTTCTGGAGTGGGTTTTGTTAGATATTTTGGTGGTGGGTTGGTTTGGGGATAAGGGATTGGGATTAGGGTAGGGGGGCGTACATTATTCCTTTGGTGGTTAAAGGGTATGATTGTAGAGAGAAAGGACTGAATGAGTGTATTATAAATGATCAATGATCAACGCAGCACAAACCAGACGAGAACCAGCCAAGGACCGACCTGGATGAAATGAAAATGAATGAAGATGAAGACGAAGATGAAGAAGAGAAGAGGCAAGAGGGATAATATATCTTTTCCCTTTCCCATGATCATCAAGGGCTAGGTACCAGAAGGGAATGGCAGGGAATGAATGGTATGCTACACGTCTACTGGAGGCTTGTTTCTGGTGTTACGATCCCTTGATTGGGAGGGGACGCGATGCGTACATTCTTGGTGTCCGGGGATTGACTCCGTAGATAGGGAGTAGGGATTGGGGGTGGTGGCTGAGATAAATTACTCTAGTAGATAATTCCTTGGTTCTAGTTTGCAAGGTGCTAGGGAGGCATGGATTAAACTTGATACCTTCATGTGTTTCTATCATCTAGGATCTGGATAGGGATGGTGGGAAGGTGTAACGGCATCCACCATCACCAAATAGGGTTGCACAACACCCACGTCTAGGTTTCAGGGTGTCTAATGTTTGTTTCAGGGTAAGAAACATGTGTTTAATGAACACAAGGTAGAAGAAAAAAACATCCCCATCACTGCCGCTGAAGGGGAAAGGATGAAAAAAAAATGACCTACGCAGGACTCGAACCTGCAATCTCTTGATCCGTAGTCAAGCGCCTTACCATTGGGCCAGCAGGCCATTGATATATGATACAGCTCATTTTGTAAATATAAACCAAGAGATAAGTATCATGATGGTGAGTTGAGGCCATCAAAGACAAGACTGTCACCCCGGACTATACTGCATCTGGATGGTTGCCTGTTTCGACTTAGTAGCCCCACACCGTCTTGCCAATTCAACTTAAGCTTCATCTTGCCAAGACCTGCATACTCTCAGGCAAGCCATTTAGATGATTTCTCCCAGGGAGACCATCGTGGCCCATCGAAGTACATTACCGATCCTATGATAATACCATCCACAAAGGTCCGTCTCATATCATGAATAAGCTGCATATACTCACTGAAGCTTTCGTCCACACTTTAGACACTGTCCTCGAATATCCCAACTCACATGAAGACCAACTGCATTCTCACACCATGCTGCAAGCACACGTCCACTTTACTGGAGACCCAGCGACCCAATCGATCTTCATCTGGGCCCTATACAAGCATTGCGAATAAGCTGATCACCGCATATAGTACGTGTGCGGCGAGTGCGTAAAAGGCTGTGGGATTGGTGGGATTACTCTGATTGCTCTTTTACCGTCGGTTGAGAAGATACGGTATGATGGGCGGGGATTTTGGTGGGTGAGTTTGGTGTTGGGATTGGTGGGGAGCCAACATTCGAGAGCGGAGTCCATTTGTGAAGGTGGCTGGTGGAGAGGGAACAGGTGATTGTGATTGGGGGTTCTGTATAGTATAATTCTTAACATTATTGGTCTAACATCTAGATATGCCATATCTAATCAGTCTATCAAGTCAACACCATCGCTATGCTAAAGATCAAAAAATCATGTCATCCGCGGCTGGAATTTGGGGTTCGTGCGGATCCGCTCCCCATACTTGAGCAGGAAGAATGCGCTCGGCGCAAAAGCAAGCGCAATAAACCCGAGCAGGCTGTTCCCCCACCCCAGTCCCAGCGCATCATACAAAGGCTCAGCCGCCAGCGGAATCGTAGCCCCAAAGATACACCGCAGAGCCAGCTCTGCAGACACCGCGCTGGCGGCGTACAGTGTGTACGAGTCAATGAGATAGACCTGGGTGACCAGGTGGACATAGTAAATGCCCGCCCCAACGAAAAAGGTCCCGGTGATGGGAACAATCCAGTGCACCCGGTATTCGGCGGCCCAGCCGTACCAAAATAGACCGATCGGGACGAGAGCGCATCCCAGCACCAACGGGGGCAGACGGTGCTCCGGCTTCATTGATCCGTGGAGTCTTTCCTGCTTCTTGAGATAGCGGTCCGAGTAGTATCCCACGGTGATCTGTCCGAAGCAGAAACCAAGACCCAGCCCCAGGTAGCCAAGGCCGGCTTGGCCCGGGGTAAAGCCGTAGACGTTTTCGAAGACGCTCGTAAAGGTCGTGAATAAAATGTACATGTAGCTGTAGGTGACAGAGCTGTAGAGAGAAACAATCAAGACAATTGGCGACAGACAGAGGAATTTGATGGGGCGACTGAGCGAGACCCAGATGATCTGGCCCAGAGTCTTGTCGGTGTCGTATTTGGTGCGGTAGTAACGTCCGGTCTTCTTCTGCAGTCGCTTTGCCTTGCGCTGAAGAAGGGTTGGGGCATAGGTCTCGCGGAGAAAGATCAACGAAGTAACCGCGATGACTCCGCCCTGGTTTTATCAGTAATTGTCTGACAGAAGGCAAAGCCGTCAACTTACCAGAATGGCTTCAAGCCAGATGGTCCATCGCCATCCGACATTCTGGACGATGAAGCCTCCAAAGATGGGGCCTGTGACCATTCCCTAGGTGATGTCAGAAGTGATAGTTGAAAGGAAATAGAGCTGACTTACCATCAAGGGTCCGACGGTCCAGATTGTCATCGCGGTTCCTCTCTTTTCCATGGGCATCATATCCGCAACGAACCCGCCGCCGACAGTCACTGGAACGGAACTAGCTATTCCCATGACAAAGCGGGAGCCGATGAGCATGCCCGTGTTCACACTGGCCGCGCAGACCACCGCTGCCACGGCAAAAAGAAAATTGGCGATGTGGGTCATAGGAAGCCTCCCGCTGATCTCAGTGAGGGGAGTCAAGACCAGGGGCCCAATGGCAGACCCCATCACGTAGATGGAAATCATGAGAGACGATATGGATGAGTTGTGAATATTGAATTCTTTCAACACGTCTGGGACGCCAGGAGCAAAGACAGTGGATACCATAGAACTGTGACTGTCAGCCAAGTTCCACACGCACGATCTCATCGCTATGTCAGACTTACACGTTGAAGCTGCTTAGGGAGATCAATCCGATGGTGATCCATTTCTGGAGACTGGACCAGTTCATGGGGTTCTTAGGATCGTTGGGTCCATCCCAGTGGACGAGGCTGTCATCCTTGTCAAGAGAGTCACCCGATTCGAGTGCACTATCTTGCAAGGTGATTTCGCCTTCTTCAACATGAACGACCTCTTTCTCCACAGAGACCGTGACAGCACTCTCCAGGCTGGTTTCCTGGCTCAGGGCAGCGGAGTAATCGACATCTCCCGGTGGTTCCGCAGGCATATTAGATATTGGTCACACGAGAAGAGAAAGTAACTAGAAAAGCAACTGGAATAGCAGACAGTGGCAGATGATTCTGACATGATTCCGACAGACCATCGGCGCAATAAGTAACTTGACAGGTGTGCTGGGAAGATGGCGAAACCAAGCAACGAAGTAGATCGTTGGAGGCAACGCGCGTCCATACAGAAGATGAGTGTGGCATGCTGGCCCTTGCTGTCGAACCGTGGATCTTCCCTAGCTCCCTTCTTTAAGTTTTGGTTTCCTGTCGCAAAACTCGTCCCGGTTGGGTCGGAGGGTGGATACGATAGGAACGATCTAGCAGGGGCAGGGGTAACCACTGATGACGGTCATGGTTCCTTGCTTGATCATCTCGCCTCTATTACTTGTCAACGGTTGCCCCTATCAGCTGGAAATTTCGCCATGTTCCAGAGAAACTAGTTCCTGGGTAGCGCCTCCATTTCCCCACAAGATCCACGCGCTCCGAGCACAGACCCATCCCCTTGTGCTCATTCATTGATGATCGTATTTTCTGTAGGCGTCAAGGATGGAGTCAGGAGAGGTGTATGTTGCGAGCGCTCCCAGGCAACCCTTGTTGACGTGGCTTGAATCCCAAAATAGATGAAGCCAACTGCATTGGACGCCACATGTTGTGATCAACCCAGCCATCTTTCGATTCCGGATAGTATCCACTGGTGGAGGCCTCAAAGCATGGGTCGCTGATTATCTAACCCGATCAAACTTTTTAGATATACAGCCACCCTGGTGAGTCAGGTGGAGAACTGATTGGCCGCGATTCTTCTACTGCTTCAAGTTGTTGTATCTTGAATAGTGACCCAAGGTCTCTAACTAGCTCGCGGCGCGTTGAAACACTCGTCAGCGGCCGACGTGTTGTGCCATACTCGGGGGCATGACCCTGGCAGGTTTGGGACCAAAAAATGTAGATCAACCGTCCGGATTGGCAGTCATAGCTCTGATCCAGAAATGCTTGGTTAGGGGACGAGTGAATGGGCGACTCCTGATGATCCGGTACTATTGGACGGAAAGCGGGAGATCTCCCGGTTGGGCCAGCGGCTGCCGCCTTGGACCCGATTGTTTGCAAATGATCTGCCATCTGTAGAACGTGTCTGCTCGGCATTCCTCCCCAGTCCGACCACTCACCCATCGTCGCACCGGAAATCTCTCGGTACGGCAAGTCGAACGCGTGAGAGGGATCTTCAGGTCCACCCCAGCCAATATATGGACCGAATTTGCAGACGGAGCTGCAACCAAATAGAGCTTCTCGGGAAGCTTAATCCCTTGGCCGAGGTCAAGCGGGTAGAGTCGATCGGATTTCTGTCGCCCCGATGGCAAGATTCTGGCCCGCTGGAATTGAGGTCTGGACAGGATGCTGTCTAATCGATTGGTGACAGTGGGCTGGATTATTGCCTCCGGTGGGTTCGAGCCGCGGGCTAAGAAGCTTATCCAGGGTCGAGAACTCGAGATACCAAATTTGAGGGTTGTTCCACTATGATGCGTCGACTTGCTGCAGAGATGCCCAGCTAACAACTGCCACTCGGTATCTGTCAAATTGTGAAATTCCGCCTTCCCAGCTGGTAAAGATCCGTCCTGCGATTGACAGGCGATCTCATGCGCATCCCGCCGCCACTTGCAGAGGGGACCGTGGAGGTCAGTAGGGGATTGGAGGGTGGCGAGGTCGTGGCCTCTTTCGCGGAGCGTCTCGTGGGCATCTGCGTGGCGTGGAGGGGTTGTCAACTACCGAGATAGCATGCCGACGGGATTCCTGGCTCACGAGAGGACATTGTCACACCCTTGTTGAAGCTGTGGTGTTTTGAGTGAGAAAATTCAATGAGAACGGGAGGTCTGCCCGGCTGATGAAACTTGACTGCACGAGAACCTCGTGACTTCTTTCCCGGGGGCTCTTCCCCAGGGCTCGGGGCAGCCAACATCAAACCTCCAATGCTTTAAGTTGGAACTGCTTGCGCGTCTTCCAGTGTCTACTCCGGAGATTAGATTTCCGACCCCTTGTTGCAGATACAGCTTGAGCTCATATAAAGTTGCGCGCGATCGTCAGCGTTGTCACTCGCCTGCCTTCATGCAAGAGACTGAATAATGAGCCGTGGGTTGTTTCAACTGAAAGCTTAGCCTGTAAACCGTTTCAGAGGACCATTCCTTGGATCAGCGTGGAGAATATAGCCGCCTGGAGATCTGCTTGCGCGGCTGTGCTGATGCTGCGGTGTTTTATATATACCTCGACTTCCGAGTCCACCCGAGATCGCCTCTACTACTATTTGCACCACCTCAGTGCTTTCTTTTTTCAAATCGAGACTCAACCAGTCAAGCGATTCTCAATTTGATCATCATGGGTACCGTTCGCTTTTGTCAGCGTTAAGTCGGTCACTGAGCGCTCGACTAATTCGCGAGCTATTACGTCGGCTGAGCTACTAACATCAGCGCCATGTCGGTATGCTTGATCAAGTTTGAGGGAAACTCTCATAGGGGGCTAGCCCCTGACGAGGAGTTTATTACCAGAAGATGAGGTTCTTCATTAGACAATGATACTATCATTGTCAAAAGTAGGTCTGGTTCGGATTTGGAATGGCGCATCTGGAAGCTGGGTTGGCAGGGTATGTCAGTGTGCTTTCCTCTACGACACTATTACTGATGCATCCAGTCAGTCATCAACCTGAGTCCAAATCCTAGCCTATGGTGAAACGGGAAAAAACACCACCGCCATGCCAAGAGTCACATTCTATGCGAAGATGTTGTCATCGTCTCGTCTATCCAAGCTAGACCCGACGCCCAAGATCCCATAATGCTGGTCTGTCTATGCACGAAGAACAGTCATCCATGGTGAGCAGGCGCGGAACACCATTAGCCACCTTGGGCCGCGTATACTGTCGCTTCAATCCTGGTAGAGATTCTTGATACTCTACATCATCATGAGCGGGCTGCCCACGAGGCCGGCAGAGTTGTCATCGTCAAAGAGACGCAAGAATCAAACATGCTTCTATAAATTGATCAAATTCGTTCCGCCTCCTCCTCTTCTTCTTTCTCTCCGACAACTGACCACGATATCCAACATGTATCCATTCCCAACTCCTCTCCCATCACCACCTCCCACACCACCACTACCTCCTCAACCACTACCAAACCCACAAATACTACCACCACTCCCACCTCCTACACCACCGCCCCAACCACAACCACAGCCTCAGCTTCAGCCGCCACCTAATCCTTCAAATCCACCCAATCCACCTAATCCTCCAAATTCGCTAAACCCTCCGAATCCACCAAACCCTCCTCCAAACTCTCCAAATCCACCTAATCCAAATCCTCCACCACCTCCCACTCAAACCTCCACCCCCACCCCCACAACTCTACTCACCACCAAAATCGTCATTGCAACCGCGGTTCAGGGACTCCACCTGATTCCTATCGTACTCGAGCCACAAGAAGAGGCCCAGAGCCAGACTCAGAGTACCGAGGAATCCGAGCCCAGCAACAGCAACAGCAACAGCAACAGCAACAGCAACAGCAACAGCAACAGCAACTCCGGTGATTAATCCTCTCTATGGCACGGGTTGAAGAACCTGGAAAGTACTCCGTGAGGGGAATGGCGGTGGATGAGTTAAGGGCTTATGGAGCAGATGGCTTGGTTGTTGGATGCGACATGCATGCAGCTGGTCGATGTAGAGGGTTAGAAGGGTTGTTGGAGATGTTATTGAGGTGTTGGTGAGGTGGAGTTCGAAGAGATTCGAAGGAGATTCGAAGGAGAGTTAGGGTTTTGGTCTGGGATGAATTTGCGGCTGATTGCTTGGTGCATAGTGTTGGTACATGGTGTGTGCATGTTGCTATTGCTCGGGATCATCTTAGCGAGGACCTGGATTCGTCGGCATATACTGTTCAATGGGCCTTGATGGCGTTGAGTCTGGGAGGGTCTCCCAGAGAGTACATTTTGGTACAGGGTTCAATGGATATTAATTTCATACAAAAGGGATAGAAAGTTCCAAGATCATACCCAAAGATGACTAATAGCTCAACCAATCTATAACTAACTATATCTTTCATATATCCCCCTATCTAAGTCTAATTCTCAAACTCCAACCCCGACTCCTTCCTCACAGCCCCATACACGGCCGCAATATCCCCCTTAACACCCCTCTCCTCCTTAACCTTCCCCAAATACCCATCCGTAACCTCCACACTCCTCAACCTCACCCCCACCTCCCCCGCCAAACTCGCCGCATGTCTCAAATCCTTCCTCGCCAAATCCACCGCAAACAACGGCTCCTCCCGCTGATAATAATCCCCCGACACCATCCGATCCGCATACAACGCAAACGGGCCCGGGAAAAAACTATGCAAGAACTGTCGATACACCTCCACCCCTAATCCGGTTTTCTCGGCCGTGACTAATCCCTCTGCGACTGTCTCGACGGTGTTGAGGATGAATGTGTTGCCGAGGATTTTTAAGGTGGTTGCTCGGCCTACGTCCTCCCCGGCCATGGAGATCGTCGATTTGGCTGTGACGCCGTCTAGGAATGGCTTGATCCGGTCGATGGATGTCGCGTCCCCGGCTGGTACGACGACCAGTTGGCCTGCGATGGCGGCCGCCGGGGCGCCGAAGACGGGACACGCGATGAAGGAGGCGCCGTGGGCGGCAAGCGTGGTGTGGATTTTCCGGGATGTGTCGGGGTGGACGGTGGAACAGTCGACGATGATTTTGGAGGCGAGGGAGGTGGGGGGGAGTCGGGAGATGATGGATTCGAGGGCCGCGTCGTCGCCGACGCAGATGAAGATGATGGTTGCGGAATCGGTGGCGTCGGTGAGGGAGGTGCTTACGGTGGCTTTGTTGGGGGGGAGGGTCGAGGCGAAGGTGCTGGCTTTGCTGGAGGTGCGGTTGTAGAGGGTGATCGGGTGCGTTTGGGGACCTTTGGTGGCGATGTTTTGCGCCATGGCCTATATAGAGGTTAGGTGGGGGGTGGTGAGGGGAGGGAGAGGGGTACGTACGCGGCCGATGTTGCCGAGGCCGATCCAGGTGATGCGTTCGGAGGCCATTGTGGTGGTGGTAGTTATTGGTTTAGTTGTGAGAGAAAGGAAATTGGATGGAAGGGTGACAGTGAAAAGGAATTGGTGTTGGAGAGCAGAGGTGACGGGAGTTATATATGAGCAGGGGGAAACCGGATGGGATGCGGGGAGATGGTTCAATTCTTAGCCGACAGCCCGGTTTCTTGATTGGATCGGATGGAGTCAAGCTCTACATCGTACCCTAGTACTAGTGTCTCACTGTCTACTGTCTACTGTCTACTGTCTAAAGCTCGGTCTTTCCGTCGTCCGAACTCGCGCTCGCTGCTCGCGAAACTTCAACGCCGAAGACCGGATGCCCCGCCGCGACGCTAAACTAATGACAATGCAAGCTTATCGGCATGATTCAACCACATGGTCCACTTCACAATCATGTACTGTTACATTTTCTGCTCTGCGCAATAATTAATCTATTCTCGAGGGCGAAAACGAGTCGGAGGAGCCTCCCACGGCTGGTTCAACACCTCGAGGATCTTCTCGTACGCAATCACCCGTCCATCCTTCAGAGGCAACTGAGCAGCGACATGCTGGGCCCGCCCGTGGAATCCACTGAGCTCGTCACTGACTAGCACGCGCAGCAGCGCCTCAACTAGATCCTCTCCACTCACGCCCGGCGCGGTCTGGCGACTGCCCCAGACGCCGAGGCCGAGATACTCCACCCGCGCTGCGAAGTCGTACGTATCGAACCAGATCGGAAGAACGACCTGTGGGACACCCGCCCTGTGGTCTTGTTAGCAAAGATTGAGTACAGATATATTCTAGTAGGACTGACCGGACAGCCTCGTGGTAGGCATTGGCTCCCCCATGGTGCACCACACAAGTGATATGGCCGCTCATCAGCAGAGACATGGGCTCGAAGGCAAACCAGTCCTCAATCCGCACACGTTGGTCGAGCATATGAAGCTGTAGAATCTCGACGAGGTTCGGACTGACGGTCACCTCTTCGTCGCGCTGCAGCTTCCACAGGACCTGCAGGTTGGGCTTTGCGTCGAGCAATTTGCACACGGCCCTGCCGAACACGATCTGCTGCTTCTCATCGTAGTGGAACCGGGTACCCATGTTGATTAACATGGTAGGACGCTGCGAGAGCCAATGGGCGATTTCGGGATCCTCCTCCCCGATGGGACGATGAGGGGGGATGATAGGTCCGCAGAGAGTGACATTATCGGGAACTGTCAGCGGAAAGTCGGTCTCCAGGTGAGCAGGGCTGAGAATCGTGGTGTTGATTGTCTTGCCGTGCTGCAAATATGGGATAGGGGTCGGTCCTTGGATTCCCCAGGCGTGACGGGCGTTCTCCACGTCCTGCAGTCTTTCTGAGTTCTTAACCGCCCCTTGGAGACGAATACCCAGGTACACGTTGCGCAATTTATCCCGGCACGTCAGCGGGTATTCAAACCCCGAACCGAGCCTGTTCGATTAGTGAACAGGTTTGCTCTCAAGAGAAGAAAGGGGGAATATGTGGGACTACCCACATCGGATACTGCAACAGACTCGCCAGCCCCGGCTGAATCACCTGCTCCGTGGCCGGATTAGACCCCAACAATACATATCTCCAACGCAAATTACGACAAACATCCACAGCCGGAACCAAAGACGGATCAACCACCACCAAAACCGGCGCCAGCGCCTGAACGACCCCAACAATCGCATCATAAATATCCACATATTCAACCCCCATCCACGGAAGCAACCCCGGCACCAAAACACTCTGATACATCTTCAAAGCCGTACACAGCCCAATCCGATGAACCTCCCACCCATCACCTACCCAGCCATCTCGAACCTGAACTTCTCTCAGCGACGGCCCCGGAATCACCTCCAATACGGCCGTGTGACGACCCGCTCCAGACGACAAAACATGATAATTCAGTTCCGCGATCTGCTTCTTCAGCGGCCTAAACGACCCAACGTGGATTTGATACGACGAATGCATCAGAAACTCATGAGCCACGGCGAGGAGCACACTCGCTTTTCCTCGCTCGCTATTCGTCAAAAACAAAACGCAGGGTTTAGGACCCGATGATGAAGACGTTAGGGATGCGCGTCGGGAAGACATATTGACTAGAAGCGTAGGAACCAACAAACCGCTGAGCTTGATAGACTATCATCAGAAAGCAGATAAAAACGGCTTTAAATCCCCCTCCCCCTACCCGCCCCCAAAGCCAGAGCCAGGAACAGAGCGTAGGTTAAGTGAAAGCAGCCCCTAGAAAACAGTGAATCCCGTCTCATTGCCGGGAGACGCCTTCCAGGATATACTGTGAAATTTATTCACCCATCCTTCAATCGGAACCGTCCTATATCAGTAATAAGCCTCATCTGGATAATATTAGTAGCCTGGTTTTGTGTCCTGGTGGGTGAGGAATACGTATCCATGAGATTGAAGCCATTAAGTTCGAAATGAGGGATGTTTGGGAGGAGTACTGGTAGTGAATGGGCAGAATGAGGGGTTATAGTTGGGTATATTTTGCTGAAGTGGAGGGTATGGGAAGGGTGTTGCCGAGGGGGGTTCCTGACTTAGAGGGAGGAGTGCCGATGATGGGAATGGTAGTAAGTTTATTGCTAGTTCTATTTTGACTCCTAGGTTTGGTTTTCAAGAATTAGATACTATGGGGTTGATTTTACTCTTTGTGCGGATTCTGTTTACAAAGTGGCAGATGTATTGGTGAAATGTAGGATTGAATTCAGTGCTGTATTCACACCTGTCTATATCATTAACATTACTCTAGCTCTATTTTAGCCCTTAGGGTGGATGTAATAAATGCAACGCCAGATATGCATGGACATGGAACAGAAAGATGGATTTCAACAACGTTCGTTGTTGGTGAGATCCAAGCCATGAGGGTAACCACGCTTGGTTGGTGTAGTGCAAGTGGTCTGCTCTGGTGTACCATTCACCATGATACGCAAATCGTTACTAGGTACCTGTGTAGGTAACCGCCAGTATTCAATGACCCTATTGCTCCCGGCCAGTGTGAGCCTGTGACCCAGTGTGTGCACCGCACCACTCTATAATGTCCACCCGATGCGTCATCTCACATTAACCGAGTTCTTCCTAGGGCGACCGCTGATGGTAGAATTGCAGGTATTCACTCGGTCAATATCATACGGATTCTCCTCGTAGGTCACCGTACGAGTGACAGAATGGCCGGTCTTCTTGGAAGCATGCGACATTCGCCGCTCAGCTGCACCCCCTGAAGGCACTGTCGAAAGACTCTCGTCGTCACTATCGTCGTCGGGTACAGTGGCATGATTCCCCTTCTCGACGTCGGGTTTCCCCGGCGGCGGAGCCTGGCTTTGCTGCTGTAGTTTGAGGACAAATGCCTCAGCCTGCGCGGCATAGACGCAGCGCTTGCGGATGCGAGCACCGTAGATGTAAAAGATGATCGGGAACGGGACACATGCAAGCGACAGGAACGCCGGGATGGAAGAAGCCCAGTGAATGCCGAGGTTGTTGAACATATATGTCGTAAACAATGGGAATGCGAACCCGAATAGGGACCGGAGCGCAGAGTTTGCGGCCAGGACGGACGCCGAATAGATCGTGTACGCATCTATGAGGTAGTTGAACACAGTCAGGAACACCAAGACCAGGCCAAACCCGAAGGGCGCACCTGCAGCCACAGAAGCGATCCAGGGGAGGGATGGGTAGTTGGTCCAGGCAAACCAGAACAGACCAATGGGCAAGGTAATCCCTCCCACGATACACAGGGGCAGGCGGGCCTCCGGGGGCAGACGACCGTGGATTTGGCACTTCTTAGAATAATTCAAGTTATTGGGAATCGTCAAGGCAACGGCCAGCAACATCCCGACCATGATTCCCAAAAACGCCAGGCCTCCGATACCCTCACTCCAGCCGCGGCCTTCCTGATAGACGATCGGGTAAGCTGCGAATAGCATATAGAGTGTTCCGTAGATGATGGACATGTAGATGCAGAGCAGAAGCACAATAGGCTCGAAGAAGAGCAGAAGCCACGGTCGTGATAGGGCGATCTTCAAGGATCCACGCAAAGACACCTTGCCTTTATCTATATCCAGCTTGCTGCGGTACACCTGGCCGCTTAATTCGGACAGCTTCTCGGCTCGTTGGCGCAAGAGCACCGGGGCATACGTCTCTGGGAGGAGGAAGCAAAGGCACAACCACATGACACCTGACATGGCGGCCATGAATCCCTCTACCCAGCGCCAGCCGGCGCCGGCACCCAGGAATCCTCCAATAATTGGGCCGATGGTAGGTCCGCAGAGCGGCGCCGCAGCGAAGAAACTGATGGCAATACCACGTTTGGCGGCGGGGAACATGTCTGCGATTGTGCCTCCTGCATTTCCAAATGGCGACGATCCAAAGAAACCAGCCAGGAAGCGAAAGATGACCAATGTTTGAATGTTCTGGGCGCCGGCAGCGCCTGCATTGAATGCCGTGAAGACTGCATATGTTCCCATAAAGATGTTACGGCGTCCGAATACCTCACTCATGGGAGCCCACAGCAGTGGGCCAAATGCGAAGCCTAGAACGAACAAGGAGATACCCAATATCGCAACCTCTTCCTTGCATTGGAAATGTTCGACAACCTGACTCATACCACCGGAGTATACGGACGATACCAAGGCCGTGGTAAGGGTGACGAAGGCGACTAAAGCGGTGTACAGCCATTTTGAAAGCACTCCAAAGTTCATAGGGTTTCGAGGATCATTGGGAATCCAGGTGACGACATAGGGCGATTCTTCTGTCCCCGACCCTTCGTAGGGGAAATCAACGATCTCCGGCGTGACAATCTTCTGGTCGAAAACTAGGCGCCAAAAAGGGATCTTCGAGGGCCGCGGAGCGTCGCCATTGGCGACTGTGGCTGCCGTGCCCATGGTGCCCGTTAATTAAGGTTCAGCGCAACGGCTATCTTGGAAAAAAGGGCTAGGCAACGTGGGAAGTGACACATTAAGAGTCGCCTCAACCTCCGCCAACAAGTCTCCGATAAGGAAAATAGATGAGTAGCAATATAAAGCGACTCACAATCTGACATGAAAGCCAACCGGAACGACTTTTCCGATTCAAATTTCAATTTCTCATCCGGCTACTCGGCAATCTAGTGGCAGCCGGCTCAGCGAATCAGGTCCCCGGGATGTCTTTGGGAGCCGAGGTTGCTTCAGATTTTTTGCTCTTATCTCCTTGCGGTTCCAGACGGTGCTACCCAGGCCACCAGATCTAGCACAGGCCGCCAGGCGTTGCGCGTCTCTGATTGTAGCCCAATGCACTCCATACGCTTAAGGCTGGTAGGCTGTGCAAAGCTTAAAGGGCCAACCAGGGTGCACTCCTTACCAGCATCCGTGTCGCGCTGCAATTGATCTTAGAATTGGCCGGAGTCGTCTTGCTCCTGCGGCTCCTGCATGCCGATGTCTTTTTTGTGCTGCCTGATGGCCCCCTGTTCTGAGATGGACAATTTCCGACATTGATCTTAGACGCGAATCGCGTTGCCACGGAGATATCGTCGGCATGGGCGGGAAACAATAGGTGACCTTCGAGCTTATCAGACCCCTATAGTTCAGCTTCTGCGATGAACGCAAAACAAGGCGATCTGTCCAGCTCCTGACTAGGCAGCACTCATCGCAGGCTGTGAAATGACGATGTCCAAATCAATATGGTCGATAACGACCGAAATTATCAAAGAGTGAGCCCCGTTATTAGCCACCGGAGGAATAGCACGATGCTGCAGTGAGACATGTATAATAGCTCCCTTTATGCCTTGCTGGCAGCTGTCTGCATCTGCAGCTTCAGATTTTAGTATGAATGTGAAGCTCTGTTCCAGGCAGTGTTTCCCCCAAGCTTTTCCGTATATCACTCATGCTGAATTTCATCCCACGAGGACAAGGTGTGAAAGTGGGGGTGGTAATCATCTTGATGGATGTTGGGCTTGCCGATGACTTCCAACTGCAATGGGATATCTGTAGCTTCACATCTTGTCGGTTAGTGACAGTTGAGTGCTTGCAGGGAAGGATAACGCAATCTCGCCATTTGTTGGCAAATCAGCCAGGTCACACGCAACCCAATGCTAGAAGAATGAAAGCATCGAAGAGATTCTGTCTCAATGAAAGATTGTCCATAGGAAACAAGATGGATGATGCTAGCGGGCAGTTGAACTTGGATGATGATCAAGAGACATGCATACCAACAGTCATCTCATGAATTGTTCATTGCAGGCTGACAGCAGATGGAAGCTGTCTGCTTTCGGGGAACTACCAAGAAATGTGGAGACTGGAGAACACGGAGTGGAATGCCGTGGGCCGAGATCTACACGCACATGACCTGGCTCATTGAAAAGCTGGTAGACAAATGTCCTTGCTGTTCCTATGAATGCTTATCTTGAAAAAACGCTATCGACAAAAAAGGTAGACACATCCAGTTCATATATATGAGTGTATCACTGATATCTCCTATGGGCTATCCAAGGTTCGGGGTGAGAACTACAGCTTTGTAGTAATTCCGTTGTTCCTCCTGGGATTTCTCCAAAGTCAATAGTAACCGAACGGAGCGTATATGCAGTTCTGGTCACTTGTCAGCATGCATACGCAGCAATGGCAGGGGCCGTACCTTCAATATCCAATTCATAGCTCGTGAATTGTTCGTCGTCGCGATGGACGAGAAGTGGAAGTTGCTGGTTCAAAAAGCTCTTCCCCCTGACTCGTACTTTGATCCCGACACTCTTGCTTTGGTCAACCCACAGCATTTGCGAGTGCCCCGCACCTTCGGATATATATTCTCGGAAACGCTTTTCTTCATCCCGCAGCCAATCCCGAAACACTCTGATCACTCCGTCCTCGACTGTATGTGCGCTCAAGAGTAGATTTGTTCCTGGCATCACTTTCACTATATTCACAAGCACGCATAGCTGAGAGAAATCCTCAAAGCTCTCTAGATTGATAGGGCGCGTGACGACCAAGTTATCCCCTTCGGAACCTTGCCCATCGTCTATCAAAGTCAGGTCCCAACTCCTCCACCGACTGATAACAGGCGTGACATACCTGTTACAGGAACGAGCCTGGTTCCACTAGACCTCTCTTCTACTGTCACTTCAGGGCGAAATCGAGAATATACCGAGCTCAGTCTCCCAAGTTGCTGCGCGGTATTGGTATTATCATAAAGAGAACCATTCCCTTGGTAGCTACTCAAGTCGTCTGTGCCAAGATATGTACAGAAAACGTGAGGTTCAATTAATTTAGAGCTCGGGTGAAAACATTCTAGGATGAGCTTGTACTCTTGCAATGGGGCGCCGACGAGCAGGCGGTAATGCAGAATCCGCAGGATCAGGGCGTGGAAGCGGTGGGAAACCGTGGCCCAAGGAATGAGAGAGCGCGTCGAGAAGGAGGAGAGAATCTGAACGAGAACCTAAAACGACATACATACATTAGCACGCCATCACCCAGGCATTGGAGATCGCATTATCGCACTTCATTCGGGAGCGAGTAGAGATGGAGCTTTGGATGGCTGACGTCCATGTTCTGATCAACTGCGGGGGATATGTGCGAATCTCATATCTTCGCTCAAGCGAACGAACAAAGCAGCAACAGCAGTTCCAGTGGAGCCCAACCTTGGGTAATGTGACGTGAGAGTCAGATGATGCCAGCGATGTTCCCCGGGGAAGTGGAGGTCGGTGATAACGGGCGATAAGGCTAGCCAGTTGCCCCTCGATTCCCCTGACGTCAAACGAACCGGGCCGAGAAAGGCGGGCAGGTGACTTTCTGACTCGGGTAGCCGCGGGGAGAGGAGCCATTTCGGTCCACAGCGCGCTGGTTAGTCACGGTGGAGCTGCCTTGCTGCGACATATCAGCCGGCCGATTTAGCAGACATGCCATGCAGGGACTCCAGGTTGATTCCATTCATTCATCGGTACAGAAATGGACTGTTCCGAATACCAGGTCCCATATGGATTGGTTCCTGTGAAACTACCAAGGTTAAAAGGAGATTGGAGCCCGTCAGGCACCGTGATGGATGGTATTTAGAAGGGCTCAGGGCCTTGAAATTACCCGAGCAGCCGACCGGATGACTGCATTTTACCCCGTGCTGTCGGTGCCGAATCGCCATAATTTCCGGAGACCCCGCGACTTAGCCCCGCCATCAGCCAACTTTTCTCCGTCGCTCATTTTTCTCTGATTCTTTCTTTTCTCTCTTCTCTTGCTTCAGCAAGCATCACTCAATTGATAGACTTTCTACTTGTTTGCGACAATGGTTGAAAGCGTTCTTGACGATATCTCTCACCGGAGATTCAATCCTCTTCGAGGATCTTATATCTTGGTCTCCCCGCACCGGACCAAGCGCCCCTGGCAGTAAGTCCGTCTGCATTCTTTGGATGACTTGGCCGCTCCATGTCCAACTGAGTGGAGGCATAGGTCTACCGAAGGAGGACAGTTAATTAATGCGCGATTAGAGGACAGCAGGAGAGCCCCTCCAAAACTACGTTGCCATCCTACGACCCGGCTTGCTACCTATGCCCTGGAAACAAGCGCGCGCAGGGTGACAGCAACCCAAAGTATGAAAAGACATTTGTGTTTGTGAACGACTACAGCGCGGTCAAAGAGGAACAAGCGCCTTATACCGCCGATGGCGGCGAGGGTATGGTTCGCTCATCAAACCAAGGTCTAGGGAATACTACTAATGCCGATCACCAGACCTCGAATCGTTCTTTCTCAAGGCAGAGCCGGTGACCGGTAAATGCTATGTGCTCACCTTCTCTGCGGCCCACAATCTCACCCTGGCCGATCTGTCGCCGGCCGAAATCGTGCCTGTCATTGACGCTTGGACTGAGCTCTACACAGCTCACCTGTCCCCGAAGTCGCCTTTGGCTGCCGTCGCATCCGCGACCACCCTGCCTCCGAACTCTCCCACTGTTAGCTTGACTAAGCCCAAGGAACAATATCGCTACATGCAGATCTTCGAGAACAAGGGTGCCGCCATGGGATGCTCGAACCCTCACCCTCACGGTCAGGTCTGGACCACTAGCTCTCTGCCCGAGGAACCGGCAATGGAACTCGAGCAGCTCAAGAAATACCGTCAGGAGAACGGAGGCAAGCACATGTTGGAGGCCTACGCTTCTCTTGAGAGCCGGAAACAGGAGCGCGTGGTATTTGAGAACGATGCGTTCTTGGTCGTCTGTCCCTGGTGGGCTGTCTGGCCGTTCGAGACCATGGTTGTCAGCAAGACACACAAGCGTGCCTTGGTCGACTTGAACGGCAGCGAGAAGGAGCAGCTGGCGGAAGCCATCGCAGAGGCCACCAGACGATATGACAATCTGTTTGAGACTCATTTCCCGTACAGCATGGGCATTCACCAGGCGCCGCTTGACGGAACTGAGGAGGAAATTGAGTCATCGTACCTGCACCTGCACTTCTATCCCCCGCTATTGCGCAGCGCTACCGTGCGTAAATTCTTGGTCGGGTAAGTAGATTCTTGAATACCTGCGGTGAAGTCTTACTGATGATTTGTAGCTATGAAATGATGGGCGAGCCCCAGCGTGATATTACCCCCGAGCAAGCCGCCGCGAGGCTGCGGGGCTGTGGTGGAGAGCTTTATAGAAAGAAGATGGATGCTTAGGAGGACTTGATGATCTGGATTGTATGTTGTATACCTATCTGTTCTTCTGATAGCGAATGATGCTTGTATCGAAACACTCCGACCGGTAGGATCCACTTCGATCGGTAAGTAGGACGAGGTGTTTAACTTTCATATGATGTACTTATGTCGAAGCGAGAGAGTAACCAATTATCATACCTAATACTCGCTTGACAGTCAGACCCCTTCTTCGTATCACGTTCATAGCATTCATGAGGTAGACAACCGCGCAGCAATATGTTCATATCATCTACTCCCTTGTAGTTTCAGCCACCTAATTCACCCTGTTGATTAGCATAATTGACTCAAATATTGCTGATCCAGCCTGTATTTATTTCAATTATACAGTAGCGCTCCCCAACAACTGTCATGACTCTACATTAGCCGGACCATCACACCGCCAGTGATCTTCGAGGTTTCTTCTGCAAGGCTAAGCTTTTCTTGTCTCACATCCTTCTCATACCTGGCTCTTCGGATATTGTCTCCGACAATTCCAAGAATCACCTTATCTTGCATCATCTACACGTGGTATCAGCCTGGAAAGAATGTGATCAATGGCTTGAGATCAGAACAAGCACATTGTGTCGTCGATACACCAATATCACCATGACACTCGTGGGGGGTCAACCCTTAGCATTCTGATTATTATATTATAATTTGATTATAAGTGAGCTACTCATAGCTCATTTTGGTTCCTGATTATATAAGATAGACAAAGAAAAGGCTCTTGAACACAAATGAAGGTTGTCATCTGCACCTAGAGAGCCAGATATCCCTCCCTTTGTGTCAACATCCAAGTCAACGTGGACGAAGCCACAATCAGAGGACTGACGAAGCGTCCCTTGAGCTGCGCACTACCAAAGCCCAGCCACTCGCCCACAAAGTGCACCAAAGCGAGACCAAAGGTCCAGATGGCGAGATCGTAGACAGCCGGGTTGGTGATGTTGTAGGCGGCGTACATGCGGACTACGGAGGAAAGGAAGGTCCACGTGCCGAAAGTCCGAGAGGAGAGAGGGTTGGTGGGCGGGCGACCATCAGCGGACTTTGCGTTGTAAAGATCAGCAGCATAGGATTCTGATCGATAGGCCTGGATGCTGTTTGCTGCTGAGATGACGGAGACCTAGCCAAGGAACAGATTAGCACATGTCTGGGGTATGGATGTAAACAATGGGTTGATCGTACCAGGACGAGCCATTTGGGCAGCAAGCCCTCAAAGGGCGGCAGATAGGAGAGAAGAGTGTCCATGGCTATACGGAGTATCTTGGTGATGGAAGGACCAGCTGAAGAGGAAGGGAATGAAGGCGCGTCAATTGGTTGGGAAGACTGATAATTGGGATGAGATAATTGCTTGTTTGGGGGGCCGAGGTCTGCCGCTGGGGTCTTGGCACCGCCAAACCCCAACCATTCTTATGCCCGGCATCGCCGCCTTCTCCGGATTTTCTCTGTCAGCTCCGTCAGCTCCTCCATCACCATTGACACGGCTTGAACACAAGCATCATGGATTTCCTAACGAAGCATCTGGACTGCTTGTCCAACTGGCAATTGAACCTCCAGCCCGGATGGCAGACGGTGGGCGCCTCGGCTCTTCTCGCCGCGGGCAGCTTGTTTGTCGTTTCCCGCGCCTTGGTTTTCGTTAGGGTCATCCTGAGCTTGTTTGTGCTTCCTGGCAAGCCTGTATGTTACTATCACAAGATTAATTGGATGCGCTGCAGATACTGACACTTATACCGACAGCTTCGCTCCTTCGGTCCCAAGGGCAGCTGGGCCGTGGTCACAGGTGCCTCCGATGGCCTCGGCAAGGAATTCGCCCTTCAGCTGGCTCGCGCCAACTTTAACATCCTCCTCGTTTCCCGGACCGCCTCCAAGCTGGAGACTCTTGGCGAAGAGATCCAGTCCAAGTTCCCCTCTGTGCAGACCAAGACCCTGGCGATGGACTTTGCCCGCAACGACGACAGCGACTACGAGAAGTTGAAGGCACTGGTGGACGAGCTGGACGTCTCCGTGCTGATCAACAACGTTGGAAAGAGCCACAACATCCCCACTCCGTTCGCTTTGACTCCGGAGGATGAGATGACTGATATTGTGACCATCAACTGCCTGGGTACCTTGCGGGCCACCCAGCTGGTCGTCCCGGGTATGATGCAGCGCAAACGCGGATTGGTCCTGACTATGGGCTCGTTCGGTGGACTCCTCCCGACCCCTCTCCTTGCCACTTATTCGGGTAGCAAGGCCTTCCTGCAGCAATGGTCCAGCTCCCTCGGTTCGGAGCTTGAGCCGTACGGAATTACTGTCGAGCTGGTCCAGGCCTATCTCATTACCTCTGCCATGTCGAAGATCCGCCGGACCAGTGCTACGATCCCCGACCCGCGTTCGTTCGTGAAGTCGGTCCTGACCAAGATTGGCCGCAACGGTGGATCTCCCTCGTACGCATACACCTCTTCTCCTTACTGGAGCCACGGATTGATGGCCTGGTTCTTGACCTGCGTCACGGGCACTATGGGCAAGTTTGTTGTTGGCCAGAACAAGGGCATGCACGAGGCGATCCGGAAGCGGGCCTTGCGCAAGGCCGAGCGCGAGAAGGGCAAGAAGAGCACTTAAGTGGCATTGCGCCATGATGACTAACGCATGTGTTGATCAACCTGGGGACGATAGGGAGAGCCGGTGGGGTGAACCCTGAACTGAATCCGCAGTGGCGAAGGGTGGGCTCGGTGAAGGATTGAGAGCATGAGCTAGATCTGGGTGCTCGGAAGGGACCGCACCTTATTCCAAGGGAGGTCCATCCAGGCCTGCCCTACACGTGGTGTCGAGGAACCAATCAGGGGAATCAAGACCGGACCGTGCAATCAGATCGACAAATGAAACAATCACTAGCAGATAGCATAATCTAATAATGGGCGATCTTCGCAATTACTTCGGTCAGTTAGCCTCCGCTGTCAACCGGCTGGAGATGCACGTCAGGAGTCACCCGGGTGGATAGGACCAATCTTGGGGCCACCGTGATATCTCCGAGCTGTGAGACTGCCGATAAGAGTGTGGGACTGGGGAGATTCCTGTAGGGCGTAGTCGGGGGTGACTGCTCCGTAGGGGTCGGAGAATTGATGGCGTGCGCATGCTCGAGTATATATAGAACAGGTAGTGTAGCAGATCACCTCCTGATCCTTAACACCTTCATGAAGGTCTTAGCGTGAGATCCATGACTGTATCCAACATCAGCCAAACCATCATCATCAGAAATCCGATGCCAGACTGGCTGGATATCAAAAACCGCGCCAAAGTCGATGATATCACGACATTGCGGCTCCAAATTTAGCATCACCCCAATCTTCACCACCCACCACTTACCACCACCTACCAACCCAGCCAAAACATTCGAAATGTAGTACTCCATAAATATGAGAATGACCACATGAACAACCATCCCTAATAACCGTAAAATACCTTCCGACCCGAACCCAACCATGCCCTGCACTCATCCCGTCCTGCACAAGCATCCAGGATTCCCCTCTCCACCGACGGAGTACCATAGTGATCTAAAAGTCCAAAATGGCAAACGCAAGCATGGGTCCAATCCCTGTACTCCGTACCTTACTCCGTAATCTAGAACAAACCAGGACTGGGTTAATTGGAATCGATTGGATGCCTAAGGACCAACACATTCACATTTCACAAATCAAATTAGGTTTAGGGTTGAATGGCACAGCATATGCTTATTCATTATTCACCTATTCGTATTGTACAGTTACATATGAAAGAATGTTACGTCGGGAAATTGTAACCGTAGCATTCATATTATTAGATGGATTATAGGTGTCGCGGGTGTTTGCTTTTCCAGGGGCTTGATGGGAGGAGATGGATTCCGGTTGAATGATTTACTCTGGTTTACGAGTGCTCTGTGCTGGGCTGGACTGTGCTGGGTTGGGTGATTGATGAGATGAGGTTAGGTGACCTACGCAGTACTACGTAGATAGTAGGTGGGTAATGAGTGAAACACTGGCCTGGTGGGTATGAGCTACGTTGGTTGGATGGTGTTACGGGCTGTGATTGGATGAGACGACGGGATGTCGCCGAGCTATTAGGTGGTAGTATCGTGGACTTGGATCGGGTTGGTAGGGCCTGGCCCGAGTTGCGTGATGCGTGATGCGGCCCGGTTTTGTCTCGGACTTGCCACTGTTTGGATGGCGTTGTGTGTGCTGTTACTTACTGTGGTTGTTGATGAATTATATGTACGTTGTATGTTGTTGTTTGAGTGTGTACGGAGCATATAGATAGAGTACTATGTATGCCATGGATGGCTTCTTGCTCAAGTGTCATGTAAGCGAGCACCTGCGGCATGCCGAACCGAGTGCAACGGAGGCAAGTGAAACCCTCACCGGAAGCCGAAAAAGACAAGAATCGCAGACCGGCCAAGTTCCGACCTGAACCGTGGTGAGCGAGGAGCCTCGTTGATAGGCTGGCGGCTGCGAGTCAGGCTACGTTGAGCTTTCAGCGGGCGATGGGGCTGACAGGAAACGGACGATGGTTGGAGGAAAACTCTGGTCGGTGGAGAGGATCAGAGCACACTAACAACATGATCCACTGCCCGGTGAGCTTCAAACGGGATGGGAAGAGGGGGCGAGTGGATGAATCGGCACCCCGAGAGCAGTTTGGTTGGCAGGCATGCCGAGGCCGAGACGGTCGGGCGAAGGCCGAGCACTCGGGATGGTCGACGGTGAGCAGGATATGGTTACGGTGAGCCAGGATGGTCTGCGTCAGTTGGATGTACTTATCAAGGGCCGGTTGCTGCTGGAGATTATATTAAAGCTTCCTGGTAGAGTTTCTCGTGCGTCGGGGTTGATGATCCTTCCCTCCCCTCCTTTGTTCGCCCTTGTCCTCGGACCTTCGAAAGTTTACTTGCATCATTGCATGTGTGGAAAGTCGGGATCGGCCCTTGGCCCCGAGGGGATTTCCCAACGCTTGCAGAAGGAGGAAAAATTAATAAAAAAGAAAAATCTGCGTGCAGAGGGGCCCACTTGGCGCCCGGGGATCGCCCTCGATTTCGCCAGGAACTGCGTCGGAACCGGCAACTTTACTACGACGGGTTCGCTGGTTGCTGGCTCAGGGGTCAGTTGAATCATGAAAGGGAGAAAATTTTTCTTCCTGGGTCCGTCTGGAAATCTTGGAGGCTTGACAGCCAGACACCCGAAACGAAGAAAATTCAGGAACGTAGTGGATCGAAGCTCGTCAACAATGCTTTGTTCAGTAGGTTCTGACTAAGAGCCGGCATAGTAGCGGGAGGCAGGGCAGGCGGCGGCGCCCGCCTCTTATTAAGTGAGGTAATATTAAGAGTGGCCGCTCGCGGCATCAATCAAGGGCGGGTGGATCAGCCCATGCGCCCCCCTCCTTTCAAACATTGCACTGTGACACGGAATGGACGGAGACAGCGACGAGTGGCCACTGGCACTGCAAAGTGCAATGGATGCGTTGGTCTCGCGTAACGTCAAGATGTCAGTTTTGCTGCCAACCCGGGGTGGTACCTCCGTCGGTATGGATGTATGTATGTAACCACGATGTCGTCTGTCTGGTGACGAGGGTCGACCCAACATCATGATCTCGGAGTGACCGTCCGGCGTCACCGTCTGCTTGACGGTGTCACACGGACAAAGACATGGGGATGGGTATTGTCCGATGGAGGACAAGACTCGACCGGAACTAGGATGTGAGTGTGTATTGGATGCTGCAACTAAGTAGTGTAGATATGACTCGATAGAACCTATGGAATAGTACGGAGTATACAGTACAGGTACGGCGTGGAGGAATGCGGTTCCCCTCGTGACCTGCCCGCGTCTCCAGGTTGCCTGGCTTCATCTCGGATCTTCTCCATCTCTTCTCCTCCTCCGGCCAAACGAATTCCCCTCAGCCTAACCGACTCCGTCTCAGTGCCTTCACTCTCTCCAGATGCTCTCCACCCTCTCCCCACTTTAAGACACGCTCTCGAAGCATCCAATGAACTCTCCGCCCCCTAGCTTCCGACTCGCCCGCCTCGTTCCTCTGTCTTCGGGCCCTTGAGATCTGGGCCCCCGTTTTTTCTTGCCATGGCCCTACCCCGAGGATGGGGTTCGTCCAATCCCTGGGATGGAGGCGAATTGCCGACGGATGGAGCGTCAAATTCTTTCGCTGCCTTCTTAGTGTTATTCTTGATGACGCCGTCATAATTACCGAGTTCATCCTTGTTCCCTCCACTTTCTTCCCCCCCCCCCTCCCTCTGCCCGGACTCCATATATATCCCTCCACTTCCCCCAGGTCTTCCACCCTCTTGGATCTTTCTCTTCCATCACTCTTCTCTCCTCTTGTCTCCCATCCCCAGAGGATTCTGCGTTTTATGAATCCAACGGCAACATGGGTGTCACCAACATGATGTCCCGCTTCAAGCCTCAGGCGGACCACTCCGAGTCCTCCACCGAGGCTCCTACTCCTGATCGTTCCAACTCTGCTGTCGAGAAGGATACCGTCATGCTCGATGACAGCCCTGTCAAGTATCTGACCTGGCGGTCCTTCATCCTGGGTCTCTGTGTGTCCATGGGTGGTTTCATCTTCGGTTACTCTACTGGTATGTGGTCCCCCATTCTGCCTCATGGGATCCTTCAGCTGCTAACCACCCCTCTACAGGTCAAATCTCTGGTTTCGAGACTATGGAAGACTTCCTTCGTCGTTTCGGTGAAGAACAGGCGGATGGAACCTATGCGTTTAGCAACGTCCGCAGTGGTTTGATTGTCGGTCTGGTAAGCTTCATCTCCAGGACCTCTTCGTCAAGATCCTCCAACTGACAACCGCTTCAGCTCTGTATCGGTACTATGATCGGTGCCCTGGTGGCTGCTCCTATTGCAGACCGCATGGGCCGCAAGCTCTCCATGTGTCTGTGGTCCATCGTCCACATTGTCGGAATCATCATTCAGATCGCTACCCAAAGCAGCTGGGTTCAGGTGGCCATGGGCCGTTGGGTTGCCGGTTTGGGTGTTGGTGCTCTGTCCAGCATCGTCCCCATGTACCAGAGTGAATCGGCTCCCCGTCAGGTCCGTGGTGCCATGGTCAGTGCCTTCCAGCTGTTCGTCGCCTTCGGTATCTTCATCTCCTACATCATCAACTTTGGTACGGAGAGAATCCAGTCGACCGCCTCTTGGCGTATCACCATGGGCATTGGTTTCGCCTGGCCCTTGATCCTCGCGGTCGGTTCCCTCTTCTTGCCCGAGTCTCCCCGTTTCGCCTACCGTCAAGGTCGTGTCGACGAGGCCCGGGAAGTCATGTGCAAGCTGTATGGTGTCGGCCCCAACCACCGCTGCATTCACCAGGAAATGAAGGAGATGAAGGATAAGCTGGATGAGGAGAAGGCCGCTGGTCAGGCGTCCTGGCATGAGCTTTTCACTGGCCCTCGCATGCTCTACCGTACCCTGCTCGGTATTGCTCTGCAGTCCCTGCAGCAGCTGACGGGTGCCAACTTCCTCTTCTACTACGGTAACACTATCTTCACCTCCACCGGTCTCAGCAACAGCTACGTCACTCAGATCATTCTGGGTGCTGTCAACTTCGGTATGACCCTACCTGGTCTGTACGTCGTCGAGCACTTCGGTCGTCGTCAGTCTCTGATGGTCGGTGCCGCGTGGATGTTCATCTGTTTCATGATCTGGGCTTCCATTGGTCAATTCGCCCTGGATCTCAACGACCCCCAGTCCACCCCCGCGGCGGGCAAGGCCATGATCGTCTTCACCTGCTTCTTCATCGTCGGCTTCGCCACCACCTGGGGTCCCATCGTGTGGGCCATCTGTGGTGAGATGTACCCCGCTCGCTACCGTGCTCTCTGCATTGGTATTGCCACCGCTGCCAACTGGACCTGGAACTTCCTCATCTCCTTCTTCACCCCCTTCATCAACAGCTCCATCCACTTCGCCTACGGTTACGTCTTTGCCGCCTGCTGCTTCCTGGCCATCTTCGTGGTGTTCTTCTTCGTCAACGAGACCCAGGGTCGCACTCTCGAGGAGGTCGACACCATGTACGTGCTGCACGTCAAGCCCTGGAAGAGTGCCGGCTGGGTTCCCCCGGAGGGCATTGTCCAGGACATGCACCGTCCCCCTTCCTCATCCAAGCATGAGAACCAGACGGAGATGGCTGAGCACACCGAGCCGACCGAGCTCCGCGAGTAAGCCTTTGCTTCTTGCTTCTGTACATTGACTCGCATCTAAATCGTTTTTTTTTTTTTTTTTAATCGGCACGATTGCTTCATAATGCATTTGCTAGCTAGCTACCATTGACATGAATGCATCACGCATGCAATGCTTGACTTGACACACTGGGAAGGAAATGGCTGGGACTGATATTGGCGTTGGTTGATACCTGCACTGCATACATCTGACATTCAAGAAATGAAATAATACTAGTACATATGAACGATTCCCCCTTCAAATGTGTAGAAAGTAAAACTCTCACCAAATTTGAGTCTTATCCCTACATCATATGATCATCTCCATGTACGGAATAGCGTCCTCCACACCGACTCCCCAGTTTTCAATCCCACCATCCAAGAATTTCGGAAGCCCGGAAACCGGCCGCTCGGAAATCCAGCGGGTCCGGGGTTCTTCCTTCAGGAGTATCTTTCTAGAAGGATTCTAGAAACATACCCACCCTACCACCTACCCACTTGCAGGTACTCCCCAGATATACCACTTCTCATTCATTGATTATGTGGAATGTTCAACGCATCAGATATATATCGTAGAGCTTACTACGGATACGGATAGTACTGAGGGACTTCTTCTACGTATATACATACACACACACACATACCTACCTAGGCTGGGCACTAGGCGGATCCTGGACCCTGAACGCAACTTAGAAGTTACAACAGCCCGGAAATGAAACCCTATACCAACCCCACATGGAAAATAAAATAGGGGGAAGCAAAGTTAATCTAGCGAACGGTTCTACGTACGTGATTTACTGAATTGGTATTAAATATTTAGGGTTTTTGGCAAGTAAATACCTACTACTAGTAGATGGTAGGTAAGTAGGTAGGTAGGTACCAAATCTTAGTCGACAAAAAGGGGGTCAAGGGGATGAATGGATGGGTGTTTCGGGGGAACTTACACTTAGTTAACTACCTACCTACCTACCTACTTATTACTTACCGTTTTAGGTGTTTAGGATCGGTATTGTGAGGCATTTGGATTTGTAGTTTAGTTCGTTCGTTGGGTTCTGCTTTCTTTTCTTTTTCTACAAAGCAGGGAAGAAGGAAGGGAGGGAGGTAGTGTAGATCTGGGGCATGTTATGGAGTACTTGGTCCGTCTTGCTTGACTAACCGTGTATCTGTACTTTGTCTTTCATTCTTTCTTTCGTTTTTTTTTTTTTTTGTCTCTGGCGGAGTGTACGGTGCATGCTAGAAAAAATGACCGTGTAGTATATATATAGTATAACCTTGACTCTGTCTTTTCTTTTCTGTCGTTGTCTTTGTTTTTGCTAACTTTGTCTTTCATTCTTTCTTTCGTTTTTTTTTTTTTTTGTCTCTGGCGGAGTGTACGGTGCATGCTAGAAAAAATGACCGTGTAGTATATATATAGTATAACCTTGACTCTGTCTTTTCTTTTCTGTCGTTGTCTTTGTTTTTGCTGGAGGTGGGATGGGTAAGGAAGGTAGGTAGGTAGCTAGCTGAATATTGTATGTAGCTGGTGTTCTTCTCTCCTTCCCCGGCCCCTGCTCGGGAAGGGATTGGTTATTCTTGATTTGAGAGGGAGGAATGTCCATGTATCTGTTGACGAAAGATGAAGGATCATGTGAGTGGGTACTTGAAGGTCTGTATGAGAAAGGAGATTGAGTGCGAGATGGAGGGTCTCGGTTGGTTGATTGATTGCTGGGGGTTTGATTGGTAGGTAGTAGAATGGGAAGTCGAATTGAAATATGATCTCTCTTGGTCGGTTCTAACTACGGCTAAGGATGGGTTTATGTCAGACATCATCTACTCGCCACAACAAACTCAAATCAATTGGGTAACCCCAGGTATTCAGGATAAGACTAGATTCATCCAAACGAAAGGAAGAAGAAAAAGAAACACCCCCAACGCCCTTTTTTGGAACACCCTGTTCATGACCACTATATGGAACGAGTACTGTATTAAGAAAGGACTTCGTCTCGTCATCGACCGTCCGAATCCAGACACGGCCTTTACCGACGCTGGGTCTTGCCAATGGTACGCTTTCCGGTGAACTAGACATGTCATTAGTATCCATCGCACAAAAACAAGATTGCATCAGGCTTACCAAGTGCTTGGGCAGAGAGGCGGTCGTGTGACGATCGGCCTCTCCCTGTCTTGCCATCCGGTTCATCTTCTTCTGACCCAACTTGGCCAGGCGCTCGGCCTTGCTGCGCGCCGTCTCGTCGGTAACACCATCCACCAGACGGTTCGTCGCCGCCTGGCTGCGAGCACGACCCTTGGCCTTGGCAATGGCCTGGCGGGGGTCCGACATGTCGATGTCCATGTCGTCCATGTCCACGTCGCGGGTGGTCGTCCGGCCACGGACCTGGCTCTGGGAGCGGGCACGGGAGGAGGCCGCATCCACATCGTAACCAGCCGCGTCCAGGGCGTCCGACATCTGGGACAGCTTCTTGGACTTGGCGCTGCGGGGGATTTGCGCCCGGTTCTTGAGAGACTTGCGCATCTTGGCGTCGTTGCGCATCAGCACCCGCTTCTCGCGGATCAGGTCCGCCTTCATACGGTTGTCGGCGTCCTCAACATCTTCCACACTCTCATCAGACTCGTAGTAGCCATCCGCCTCCAGCTTCTCTTCCTCTTCCTCCAACGCAGCCAGTCTGGCCTCGATGTCAGGGTCGACAAAGTCGTAGATGTTCTTGCCGTTCCACACTTCAGGGATCTTGTCGTGCTTCCATTCGTCATCCGCCAGGTCGTAAGTCTTCTTGAGATCAATGTTGTAGACACCAGCACCACCGTTCTCCTCCTCGAGATCCCGCTCCAGCTTGCGGCGGTTGGGGTCTTCCTTGTCGTACTTCTTGAGGGTCTTGATGGCGTCAGGGATGAAGGTCTCGCGCTGCACACCGCCCATGGGCTGGGCAACGTGGATACGGGCCAGGACATCACCCAGGCGACCGCCAGGGGTACCGGCATTGTTAGTACCGGACTTGAGCTTCTGGGCCACACGCTCCGCCAGGAGCTTGTCGCAGGCTGCGTTCTTGACAGCAGTCACACCCTCAGTGGTCGTGCAAGACAGCTGCAGAAGCTCGACATCGCCCGACTTGAGGAGGTTCTGGAGTTCCTGCTGGTATTCGGGCTCCAAGTCCTCGGGCCGTCTCACATCAATCTTGTTCACCACGATGAACACAATCTTGTTGGCGAACAGGGGCTTGATGCTGTGGAAGAGCTTGATCTGGTCACCGACGGAGTAACCGCACTGCTCGGACAGATCCATGAAGTACATGACGGCGGACCGAAGGTGGGCAATGGCGGTAATGGACTGCATTTCGATGGTGTTCATCTCCTCAAGAGGGTGGTCCAGGATACCGGGGGTATCGATGGCCTGGAAACGCAGGTACTTGTAGTCGAAGTGACCGACGAACAAACTCTTGGTGGTGAAGGCATAGGGCTGGACGTCGACGTCCGCACGGGTGATGCTGCGCAAGAAGCTGGACTTGCCGACGTTGGGGTAACCGCAAATCAGGAGGGTGCGGGTGTTGGGGTCGATGGCGGGCAGACGACCCAAGTGCTGACGGACCTGCTCGAGGTAGACAAGCGGGTCTTTGAGACGCTTGCAGATGGTGGCCATACGACCAAGGGCAGCGCGCTTAAGCTGCTTGCACTGGAAGAGAGACTGCGCATACTTGATCAGGCGGACGTAGTCGCGGGAGACGGTTTCGATGAGATGCTTAGCGGTCGAAACCTGACCCAGGGCGATTCTGAAATGGTCGGCATCGTAGAGGGTGTTCATCAAATCCTTGTCTGGTGGTGGTCAGAAGATATCATCGGCGAAGCCTGAAAAGCAGCGACTTACGGAAAGGATGAATATCCTGCAGTCTGGGGAATCCATCGAGGATGGCCTGGAACTTTTCGCAGAAAGTCTCCTGGGTGTATTTGACCTTTCGAGTGTAGAAGCCTAACGGCAGACAGAATTTTAGTTAGTTCCAGCCCGACCAGTTTGTGATTTGCCGCTTTGGGAGCACCAGATGCATCCCGCCTGGCCGGAGAGATCAAGACATACCGCGAATACGACTGATGTTGAATCCCGCACGGATCTGGGTGGGGAGCTGTCGCTGGGTGCGACTGAGGACGATGTCCAGGAATTCCTGGCTCGTGGGCACAGGAGCGATCTAATCAAGCGGTGAAAACGAGACGTCAGATCGATGGTTCCTGGGACTGAGTTGGGGGGTCCGGGCTCAACAAAGCACTCACATCTTTCCACGTCGTCTTCATGATGGGCACCGGGGACGGAGTCGATACAGCAGGCGACTCTTGAGCAAATACCCCGTGGTTAAGGATCAGAGGTTGACAACAGCAAATCTGCGCCGAGCGATAAAAGAAAAAAAAATATTCCGGGCGGTCGGAGGCAGATTTTGGTGGGCGGTGAGCGGCGGGCCAATGTGGGGAATTTGCGTGCCTTGGCTTTTGGCCTTTTCCCCCGGTGGATAGGCGAGGGGAGACACGCCGATCATCATGACTGTCTACAGGAGAACCAGAACCATGTCTATGCCATATTCATTTACACTGACTACCGGGGACTATGATACACAAATATGCCGGCCCTGACCAACCCAGCCGTCCGTGGTGCTTCAATCCGGCCATCATAGCATCGTCATCATCATCCGTCCCGACAGAACGCCGTTGCTTTTTATCATGAACCCACCAGTAAGACCGAATCCTGTGTAATCCATAGCATGCATCACATAAAAAAGGGGTAGTGTGAAAAAAGACCAAGAGAATCGATAAAGAACAAAGGACAACGTAAGGGGGAAGAAACAACAGCACCACGCCGCAGAGATGCAGAATCGTCGCGAGACAATTCCCAAGCCCTTACTCTTTGGCGAATTCAAAGACCTGCCACCTGTCAGCTCGAGTACTTATGCAGCATCTGTCAAAAAGGACGAACCAAGTCTACCCAGCCGCCACCACCAAACTGGCACTTGCTAGGCCCGCGGTTCTCGAAACCAAAAGACTCGTAGAAGGGCACCAAGGGGCCATGCGCAATGATGGAGATGCGGTCGGCAATTTGCGCATCCTTGATCCTCTGGATATATGCCTTCATCAAAGTGCTGCCAACTTGCTTGCCCTGATGTTCCGGCAGCACGGCGAGAGAGTGGATGGCAATTGTGCTTCCGTACTCATCGTGGCCCACGGTCTCTCCATCCTCAACGGTCATGCGTTCCGTCTGCCACTGTGCCGGCAGCTCCATAGACTTATCCGTCACGACCGGGCTTGAGGTTCTCGTGGCGATGACATGTCCCACCAATGTCGGGCGAGGCTTCGGCTCGCCGTCGCGCAGAATTGGGAGCGTGAACAGACCGAGACACAGTTCCGGGCATCTACTCAGGCGATAGCGAAACTGAAAATCCCGTCAGCCGAAACCCAGGCGGCTTGATCGCACGGATCATGCACAACGTTCCAACCCATACCTTTTCGCGTGAACAGCGCTCCTGCTCAGGAAATGCCTGCTCAACCGTAACACAGTCTTCGACATTCGACTCGGTCAGAACCTGCACGAAGGGGTGCAGTTCATCCAACTTGGTGCGATGGTGGACGGGTGGACGGCGGAACCAGTAAGGATATTCGTTGATATCATCATGGTCCACAGCGACGTATTCTTCTTCCACCTCCTCCTCCTCATCGTCGTCGTCGTCGTCTTCAATCTCGGCATCTCCCACCGGATGACCTTCAGCATATGAGTACTCGGCGCGTTCGGCGCGGCGCGACAAGTCGCTGGCGGTGGCGGGCAAGGAGAAACCCTCCGCGTTTGATAACGGCTTGAGCCCGTTAATGGGCTCCTGATAGTGGTTGTTGGCCTGGTTGGACATGATCTATCTATCACGCGAGAACAAGGGTGGGGGTTGAACAAAGAGAGACGGCGCAGTTGGGGGAGGGGAAAAGGGAGGATGAAAAGGCCGGCAACGTGACAATGACAGAGGAAAGCCCGAGGGCTGACCGGAAGGTAAAAAGACGGGACGAAAAGGGAATCGAGGGGTACGAATTGCGCGGAAAGCCAAAAGCCTAGAAAACCGGGTGGGGGTCTGGTTAGCTTAATGCGGACAACGATAAGGCCTCGGGCGAAGCGATTCCAGAAGCTCGATCCAAGCTTGCAAGCAGGTCGTTTGGACTCGGCGGGGGCGTTGGTGGGAACAAAGTTTGAACGGGCAGGAACTGGTGTCAAGGAAAGGGCCGTCTGGAACGCGTGCGCAAGGGAGTCGCCAGGCTGTCTGGCAAAGTTTGTGTGCGATTGAGATTGCTTTGAGCGAGGGGTTTGCCACACGCGGAGGGAATGCTACAGATCTCCGGCAGGGATGATTGGCTGGGGGAGGGGAAATCGCCTGGGGGTTTGTCAATGAAGGACCACTGAGGGTACTGGCATTCAGTGCTAAAATCTGATTTCAAGGGGGCCGTCGCTTGGAGATTGGTGTGTGGATTTCGGAACCATTGTCCTCGTCCACTGGGCCACAGCTTGTCGTCATTTCCGGTGAGGTCCTCCAGCATTAATTGCAAAGGGCACTCAGCGGGGGATCCATACCTGGCAGGTACGCCGTACTGATAAAGGCGCCTGCAGGTCATGGCAGTACCGTACCTTACGTATCGAACCCCCCGTGCAGCCGACTGACGTTCCCGCTGATTGGCAGGACCCCCTTGTGGCGGAGAAAGTACCGTGGAGATTACCGGTACGGACCTGAGCCCGGGGCACTCGATCTCCCCTATCTGGTCTATCAGTCAAACAAGCACGAGCTCCAACATTCATCAATGTCCGCCATGTAACGATAGGGGATTGCATGTAACCTGTCTGGAATTTATTGGCAGCTTTGGGAATTAAGATCAGGTGACTGACCGTGTAGTCTCAGCATTCACCCTGCTGGTCGTTCATTCATGGCAGCATCATGTAGAATGCAACGTTGGATTGAATCCGACAGGAGGGGCGGGAAAGACTCTTGCACAACATACCCTGGTACAGAGTACGGTACACTGAGTATAACTAGCGGCCTGCAATGATTCTTCAGCAGATGCAATCAGATAAGCTTGTCAGGCCATCAGCTCCAGCCCCTGTCCACGCTAACAGATATCGGAAAAGGCACAGACACTCGGCTGCACTCCATCGGTGGTGCTGTCCAATGCCGCCAATGCACCGATGCGTTGGCAGACATCCTTATCTCAGCCGCGATAGTAGATAGCTGGCTATCATGGATTTGAACATATATGTAGATCGGTCGTCCAATGCATAAGCTCCTTAAGTGCATCCGTCTTATTGACTGCTCTCTCATCCCATCATGGCCAAATTATTCCCGGTCGACCACAGCCTGACCTCCTTCTGGCGGTCGGAGCCCGATCCTTTGGACAACTTTCGCTCTACGGAGACTTTGCCGGAAATAAGCGACATTGTCATCATTGGAGCTGGGTATGCTGGGGCTACGACTGCGTATCATTGTCTTGAACGCAGTCGACTCGCATCGGCCGACAAGCCCTCCATTGTGATCCTCGAAGCACGGCAGGCATGCTCGGGGGCCACCGGGCGCAATGGCAAGTACCTGTTCTACGTCGATCCCAGGCTGCTGGATGATATTAATGCAGGGTTATCCCTGGTGTAGGCGGCCATCTGAAGCCTGACGTATTCAATCGCATCGGTAATTTGGCCAATGAGTATGGGCTTGAGGCGGCGGCCGAAGTCGCCGCATTTGAGATGGACCACATCTCTGCCATCCAAGAACTAGTCGAGAAGGAGAAGATCGACTGCGACCTGGAAGTGAACCGAGTGTGCGAAGTCCAGTACGACCAGAACCAATTCGCGAAAGTCAAGGCTGGATATGATTTCCTTGTCTCCAAGGGCGTGGAGACAATCAAGGATGTCGGATACACTCCACCTGAACTGGCAGAGGCTGTATGTCCATCTACATGTTGCTTCTCCAGGGTAGCATGTCCCTGATAGCTTACATCGCCTAGGAATCTGGTGTGAAGGGAGCTCTGGCTTGCTTTAGCCAGCGCACCGCCCGACTCTGGCCATACAAACTCATCATCCATCTTTTGAAGCAGGCTGTTGCCGCTGGAGTAAACCTTCAGACACACACTCCGGTCACGAACGTGTCTGAAACGCCAGATGCTGATGGATGTTGGACGGTGACGACTGATCGAGGCTCAATCCGCGCCAAATGGGTGGTCTTCTCAACCAATGCATACACGTCGGCGATTGCACCGGAATACAAGGATAAGATCATCCCAGTGCGAGGATTCTGCAGTCGCATTGTGGTACCCAACCCACCTACAAAGCCGCTCGAACGCTCGTACATGCTGCGCTTCAATGCCTGGAACTATGACTACCTCATTCCGCGGCCGGATGGGAGTATCGTCGTAGGGGGAGGGAAATCCACCTTTTTCCACCAGGACCAAGACAGCTGGTATAACAACATTGACGACAGCCGAACGGTCGAGGCGGCAGCGCGATACTTTGACAACTATATGCAGAGACACTTTCATGGATGGGAGAACACGGGGGCATACACCGACCGTGTCTGGTCAGGGAGTAAGTACCACTTCCATGCTGTTGCGACTTGAAAATTGCACGTGCTAACTCTAAGAAGTCATGGGTTATAGCACCGATTCACTGCCACACGTCGGACACGTTCCAAACAAGCCGGGTCAGGTCATCGTGGCTGGTTTCACCGGACATGGAATGCCACAGGTATTTCTCTCGACTCGGGGCATAGCACAAATGATTGTCGACGGGACATCGTATGAGGAGACAGGATTGCCGCGGCTATTCAAGACGACGACGGAACGGTTGCAGAGTCGGCGCAATAACATTCTGCCCACCCCTGTGGTTGGGAGTAAACTGTAGGTTGCAGTAGCCAGATGTGTTAGCAAAAGTCAATTTATCTTTTGCATGAGTTTAGATGCTTGGTAAGGCTGTCTTGAAGTACAAGGTGAACATGAAGCGAAAAGAGTACGGACTACCGAGTAGATAGCCAGTTGATCCCATCTCACCGCCTTGACATCTGCCATCGGACTTCTCGCACGGGGTCCAGGAACTCTCCATGACCATGGGCTCCTTCACTATGAAGAGGAGTCAATGACACGATGCCCATCTGCATCGAGTGCTCCTATCCGGTCTCTCATTTGTACAGCACCTATAGTCGCGCCGATGACCGTTCCTTGGGCAAAGGAGTGCGTCTAACGCAATGTCCGCGCTGCCAGCGGTTCGCGGACAAATACGTCGAGTACGATTTCGTCGTGATCTTCATTGATCTCGTCCTAATCAAGCCGCAGGTATGTGAAAGTGTCTGTGGTATTTATGTTTGCTGACGACCGCGAAGGTGTATCGACACCTGCTATTCAACCGACTCGGGGGAGACGACAACCAATTCGATGTAAGCGCCCACCATCTACAATCATCCCAAGTTGCGACTGACATATCTCGTCCAGCGTTCCATAATCCGTCTAGGAATCCTACTCCTTCTATTCGACGTCTACCTGACATGGGCACGGATTGAGAAATCCCCATCACTCGCTACCACCTTCCTCTCGCGTGCGCCCATCATCGTCCAATACCTCTTTTTCCTGAGTCTGAATGCGCTCGCGACTCTTGCCCACCACCTCACCATCCGCCTTCTGGCATCAATCCTCGCTCCAGTACCGCGTGGATTCGCAGGTCCTTCTCAACATAATGCCAACAACAATGCGACAGAGGCGGCCGTCTTCTCCAATCCCTCAACCCCAGTGCTTCCATCATTTCCGTCCCAGACCACCACCCAAACCCAACTCTCCCCTACGCCGAACTCGACCTTGAGTCCACCAAAGCTCACCCCGCAAGTCTCCTCCAACGATGTATCAACGGTAGCCAGCGCTTCAGGCAGTGACCTTCACCACCTTCCCCCCTCCACGCCACAGGGATCCTTCCCCGCCCTTCCACCCCCTCTGCGTCGCGCTTCCACAGCCCCAGCACAAAGCATCCGACCCCTCCCGCCGCCCTCCCCGGCCAGCCCAACCGCCATCAGCACCGCACTACTCGTCAGCAGCTGCGCGAAGCTCTTCCCCATCCTCCTCGTCATCTGGGGACCCGACGGCAGCGGGAATGCATCTAGTGTCTCTGGCTCCAACAACACCCGACTCAGCGCCGGCAGCCAGACAACCATCCTCCAACAGACGCTAGACGACGCCGGGCTCGCACCCGCGGCGACTCTCACCGCCGCTCAACCAACCGCAACGGGTTCCCATTCTCTGTCTGGCTCGTCCTCGCTTCTGGAGAGTCTCATCAGGATCATGCCCGAGTCCGTACCGACCAACTATCTCGCCAGCTTTATCGAGCTAATTGGACCACTTCTCTCTTTGGGCGCCGCAGACACGCATCTCGTGCTGCTGAGCAACATCGAAGCATTGTACATTCTTCTAGGATGCGGATACCTGCGCGCCGTGGCATTAGCGGTGGCGGGATTGGCTGCTCGATGGACTGTACAGAGGGTGATCTTAGGAGCAGTTGGAGTAGGCTAATTTACATAGACATACATAGACTAATACCACATACATACGAAGTACCTCCATACCCTCTACAGAGCATAGAACACAACTAACCCATAGGAAAGTGGGTATATATTACGCACCCCAAAAGAAACAGACCAAACCAACCAAGTAATAACTATACAGAACCACATCCTATCTGGTATCTATCCCGTCCCATCCACCACACCACTACCATCAATCCAACCCCCATTTTCACCCCATCCACCTCCCTATATCACCCCCACCCACCCATCCAAACCACCCTATCCCCCCACCCCCCACCTACCACCAAGAAAAAAAAACAGAAGGAATTACTGAGGCACCCTATCAGGCCGAATATCCGACCTCTTCGGCACAATCAACGGATGCCACTGCGCCAAGAACGTAATCGCTAGAAACACCATTAGTCCAGTCCATACACCACATCACACCACACCAGACCAGATCAAATAGGGAGGGGAAGACATACCCCACATCAAATAACAACAAGCAAAGGACAGAATGAGCGTGCTGCGGAAGACACTACCAGTTATAGTTGAGTTAGTATGGTTCTTTCTTGGGGTTGTTTGGGGATTGGATAGATAGATGTAATGCGAACGGAGAAAGAAAGGATGTGAGAAGGTGATAGGAAGAGGAAGAGGAAGAGGGAGAGGGAGAGGGAAGGGAGGGAGGGATAAACGCACGTCTGATTCTCTCCCTTGGGACTAAAGATCCATGCTAGGACGGCAGCAACCACCACGAAGATGAGGCCGATGACGAGGGACCATCTATTGTTGAGTATGTTTGCATTAGTGATTGGTTTTGAGATGGGGGTGTGTTCAGGGTATAGGTCGATATCCATGTGTATGTGCATATCCATAGCAGTGACGGATTATAGGTAGGTAGGTGATAGGTAGGTATGAACATACCCATTCGCCATCTTGAATACTCGTATCGAATTGATTTCCCAAGATATATATGCGTGCCGTATACAGCAGGACCAGCCTAACTGTCTCTCTTCCTTTCTCTCTCACTTCTTCCCTTGTTCTCTTTGTTGTGTGAGTGTCTGGGTTGATTTGTCGAAGTCGGTGATGGAGCTGGCTGGGTAGCTGGCGTGATGCAATGACGGGTGTGTTGGGGTCGCAGGATCGAGCTGATTAGTTTCAGATCGTTGGGAATCGAGTGGAGGCGCAGGGCCAGGAAGCGACAGGCTGGATGGTCTGGGACTGGATTGTCGCGCAGCTGGTCGGTCGGGGACGGCGTTACGTGGTTATCGAGAGAGAGGTTATCGGCGGAGCTGCGCCGGGCTTGGGATTGGTGCCTGAGGCTGCGACGGATGGTCCGAGTGGGGCTGACTATCTATTTTCTATACGATGAGGATGTTGATGGGTATTTTTACACGGTATAATTTGGATAAGGGTACTAAGTCTACGGCTTAGCATGTCTTATGATATCGAACATCGAATACAGAGTCGTATAAGCACGTATACGCTTTCAATACCCACGGATCCACTCGAGGGATATAGAACAATTTCAAGCAGACGGAAATCAAACAAGCACTGTCCAATAACAGGTGGTAACGAATCAATATGACAACGACAAGCCTACGCTCCCTCACGGCTCTTACGGTAGCTGGCCTGGCAGATACCATTAGTCACGATGAACCCCGTGAATATTGTTCATTCATACCTCTTGCTCAACCTGCAAGCCATCAACAACAGGAGCCAGCTCGCTGAGTATCTCGTACGCCCGCTTGTGGAACTCCAGCTGCGCCGCGATCAAGTCGGCCAGGTTCCGCAGGGGTTCCGGAGTGTCGAGGACCTGAATATGGTCAGTCATCATCCCTTTTGTTAAGCAGACAGCACTCACGTTCTTCATCACGCTCACAGCCTCCTCGGTCTGTCCAACGAACTCATCCTCCGCCTGCTCGATCTCAGCACGAGCCTCCTCGCTCAGGTTATCCCAGTCGCCCTTAGCCGCGGCCTTCTTGCTCGCCTTGACCGAGTCGAGCATCAGACGAGCATTCTCAACATTCTTGCGCGCCTTCGCGGCGAACATCAGGTTGGTGTTAAGCGTGGTGTTCCAGCCAGCCAGGAAACGGGACTGGATCTGAGCATCCTGAGCCAGACGAGCCTCGCCCACCTTCTCCTCCGCCAAAGCATACTTCTCCAAGGCGGTAGCCAAGGGGTCCTCATTGCGGGAGTTCTGCGCCAGGGTCTGGGATCCTGCCAGAGAGGCGCGGGCAATAGCGTGGTTGAAGGTCTTGGGCTGGGGCTTGGCCGAGGGAGGGGCCGTCAGGGCCGCCTGAGCCTCTGCGGGCGAGGAGGCCTGGGAGAGGAGCGTCACCTTCTCGTTGATGGTGCGGCCCAGGTCGTTGAAGGATTCACGGATGTTGGGTGGGTAGTCGTAGGCTTCGTTGGAGTATTGGGAACTGCGTGTGGGCGCACATGTTAGTTTCCTGGGGAGACAGGGTGCAGGAGGAGATTACGCACGTCACTTGAAGGAGCTTCTGGTGGACAATCTTCAGAGCGTCCACGCGCTTCTCCAGCTCGATGTATTCATCGGGAAGTTGAGTACGGTCCTCCGCCTGGCCCAGCTGCTCTTTGATCATCTGCTGGGTGCGCGCAGCAAAGGGCGAGAAGCTCGCGCTGTTCGATAAGGAGTAACATGTCAGTATGAATGTCAAATATCAGATGAAGGCCGTCTGGTTCATCGGGTTGACGCTGGATAAGCGGCCAGTCTCCTAATCGGAGAAATTATTGCGGAGGCAGATCTCACCTGAGGTTCTTTCCGAACGCCTGGAATTTGTCCATGATGCGATGCGATGCTGTTTCGCTTGAATGTACGGGTTGGGCCTGATTAACTAATTTGAGTATGGACGCAGTATGTCTGCAGTAGGAGTGTCAGGAAAGACGGTGTTGACGGTGCAGATCGCGGAGTCGAGGCCACTTTCCGTTCATTGGTGGGGGACACCGCCTCGTATCGCTGATACCGCCACGGTTTCATGCCGGCACTTCGCTGCATTTCTCTATCTACCAGTTCGACTTCGTCGACTATCTATTACTGATAACAGTGGTATCGCTTGCATTGGCTAACCATAAACTCTCAGTAGGTATCAGACGCAGTCTAAACACATCAATCCAATTACCCAGACACAGCAATGCGCACAAGCCCAAGAACAGAACAAGAACAGAATGCCAATCATTATCATCATGTCGTAAGAATAAACGTCCACCCGGCCGATCCAAAACGTACAAATCGTCATCACACTCAAACTGGTATTGTACAGAAAAAGATACCGAAATCGTCGAAGAACAACTGAAAGCCGTAAAATCCCCGCCGCAACCCGTCTCCGGCTAAGTCAAGGTTGCCATCATCGCGCGCATGAGTCGGGAGCTCGGGCCTATGATCATCTCAGAATCCGTACTTCACCGCTTGCGTCGGACAAGGCTCATCCTACCTCTGCGATCCCTTCTCACCTCCGTGATCTCCTCCTCTTCGCCGTCACCAATGATGTCCGTATGCCGGATCACCTCCCCACCGCCACGTCGCTCGATCTGCGTGTACTCCCGCAGATCATCATCGCTATCGCGCGGGCGCACTACAATAGCAAGTGGCCCGGACTGAATCTTACTGGAATGCACGCCGTCGTCATATCGTTCGACTCGAGGCACGGGCGATGACCGACGGCGAGGGCGTCCCTGGACCGACACGGTCCGCGTCCGAGAGACTGTCCTAGTCACTTTCTTCTCGGACAGTTCGTCGTGGTGATGACGAGGATGGCGCGAATGCGACCGATGCCGTGAGGGAGATGGCTCGATGAGCAAAGTCTCATGGCTGGTCCGGGGGGTGTAACTCTCCATGGCAATACGCTCTACCGTGCGGTCGCGGCGCCTTTCGCGGACGGGCGACGGCGAGGAGGTATGCTTATAACGAGCTGCGAAGACAGTCAGCACCCGTGCCTTGCTAGGTTTGCGCACGCGACACCTACTCTCGCTCATGTGCTTGATCTCGCGACTCCGACCGATGACTTCGTCGATCTGCTCCTTGGACAGAGCGACCTGAATGATAATCATCTTTCCCTGAAGCGACAGTCAGCATTGAACAAGCCCAGGCCATGTGTTTCCCAGCTCGACTTCTATCCTTGAATACACACCTCTTCCTCATACGGATAGCCAAACTCGCGGATCGCACTGGTATGGACCAACTTGCGAGGCATACGAGTTTTGCCTTTCCGAGGATATGGCTTCTCCACGTCAACTTCCTCTACCATTCTCTCACGAAAGCGGCTCACTGAGCGACGCGGACGCTCCACGATCCGCTCCCGTTCACGGAACTCCCGGTACTCTTCGTCGCCATAGTATTCAGGTTCCGCGATGCGAATTTCCTCATAGTAGTCGGGTTCGCGGGCTCGGTGAAAGGAACCCCGCCTCCGCATCGGCGGGGGACTAGGGGGTGCTCGAGGGGGAAAGTCGCTATAGTAATACTCGTCGATTTTGCGCGACGGGACGCGATCAAAAGTGTCCAAAGAGGACTGGCGTCGCAGGAGGCGCGGGCGAGGCGGGGGACTGTCCGCATGGCGGCGCTCATAGGCGACCAGCGGGCCGGGGGGATAGACTAGATGGTCATCTTTGTAGAACACATCCGATCGACGGGCCGGAGGGCCATATCGCTCCTCTTCCTTCAGGCGATACTCGAAGCGATCATCTTCTTCAACACGACGGGGGCCGGGGCGATCGAGTACCGGGGGTCCACGTGAACGGTGACGGTGACGGTGACGCTCACGCGAATAATGGTCCTCGTCGAGAGCCCCAGTAGAGCGACGATAGTCACCGTGCCGAGACATGTGTGACTGGATGGAAGAAGGAATGACCTGAGAAGGAGAGAAGGGAAACACTGACTGCGAGCGAACGAACGAACCGTGGATGACGGCAGCGGCTGACTGGGGCGGGCCGATTAAATAGCGGGGCAGAGCAGAAAGGAACCGTAGTTGCGATGAGCAATGACGTCGGGGCTGTTGGTGTCGTGTAGTGGTGTAGCCAAACTGATGCTAGTCCGATGGTTCTGCGATGAAAATGGTTCGAACCTCGTCGGGGGGGGGGGGGG